AATATGTAGGTAACAATTTTACTTGTATCACTTTCAAAATTATATAAAAATTTTTGTTTAAGTTATAAAAGTACAATATACTTTCCAAACTTGATTCTTATTTTCATACTACCTAGCACCCATTCAAATCATGAGCTGTTTAGGAAAATAAGTTGTATATTTTTCAACTTTTTAAATTAAATTAATGTAACCATACTGCAAAATAAAAAACATTGAATATTTTAAGTTAAGTAACAAAGGTGAGTAGCATCCACTTTTGATGAGTTCACTTACTTAAACTATCTAAATTTTTGAGAATTTTTGATTTCCAACAAAAAAATAAGAGTACTCCACACTGTGTCACGCAACTTCCGAAATACCAATCATTGTTCAGTTTTAGGTTCCAAACAACGATGGCCCTGTCTTAAATGTGGAAAGGACTACAAACACAAAGGACACCTTCATCGACATACTTTGAACGAATGTGGAAAGGAACGAAAATATCAGTGTCCTCTATGCCCTTATAGGTCATACCGCAAGGAAAATATAAAGATACATTTGACGAGAAAAAAGCATTCTGAAGATGTTCAGCAAAACGATCCGTACCTATTTGTTCAAGTTCCTAGTACGAAGTAATTGGGATGATTTAACTCAAATTAATTTCCAGTACTTTTAGAATAGCATAACACCACTCATATGTGATAACATACGGGGCGTAGCGTTGAATGTGGGTCATACTTATACATTTAGAAGCACATAAGATAGTTTTTTAAATTCCGTTGACGAAACAGGTCATTTAACGTATTGTAACTTCTATGTTTATTTAATTAGTATTCTGGAGAGCACCCTAAAAAACTGGCTTCCACTTAACGTTACACCCTGTATAGTTCCGTTTTTTTTTAACTGATTCGTATTTTTTAAGTATGTTTATTATTTAGTACTGTCTTTGCAGTCTGTTACCAATTCACTTCTCATTACAGAAAGGTAAGAGATATGAAGTAGCTTAAATGGGAGCAAAGTTGCATAAACAGGGGACCAACATTATGCCTCTTAAAAGTCAAAGCTAACATGATTAGTTTTCGAAATATTTGAAAAAAATCGATATTTTGGAAATCCGTTTTTGATTCATTTCAGCCTTGTTTGAGGTGATATTTAAAAAAGAACACTTTCTCATGGCAACTTTTTGCCATTTATCGAATAGAATCCATTTTTATATGTAACGTTTCATCTCTCCAGGACCATCATCAGCTTCATTTATTTATACGGCCCTGGAAATTTTATTACATTTTTGCAAGCCTTCATGACCCCCAATACTGTACTGCCTTAGCCCGAACCAGATTCAGACGTTTTGTCTCGAAAAATTCATCTTCAATGCATTCGATCCAAATTTATCTAATTTTTTTTTAGATTTCTGTGTTTATTGAGTTATCGTAGACTCTAAGTAAAAACAAGGCTGAAATGAAACAAAAACGGATTTCTAAAATTTCAGTTTTTTTCCAAATATTTCGAAAACTAATCATGTTAGCCTTGATTCTTTAGAGGCATAATGTTAGCCCTCTGATTACGCAGCTTTACCCCCATTTAAGCTACTTCGTAACTCTTACCGTTTCCGAGATCCCTGTAGTGAGAAGCGAATTTGTAACAGCCTGTATATAGTATATTATTCAACGAGCGTATAATGATGGGTATTATTCACGAGGTGAAGTTTACGGCCACGAGCCGCAGGCGAGTGGCCTAAATCACCGAGTGAATAATACCCATTATACGGGAGTAGAATACTATACTTTATCCACGACTACTAAATATTTTTGTTGAAGTTTTTTTTGAAATGTTTCGAAAAACATGGTATGTTAAGAAACAGATATACGACTCGCACAAATGAAGTCGCTGATGGCTCAGTGTAGATGCTCTTTCCCTTCCAACCGCGGGTCCCGGGTTCGAATCCGGTCTAGGAAAATTCACTTTTTTAATTTTTTTTTTATATGTACAGCACTGAATTGAAAATATTTAGTGGTTTACACGATAAAATTTTAAAAACGGATTGTTTGTAGCAGAACAATATAATATTATAGCTAAATCAAGGAAGCATCTGACAGTAGTGATTAATGACTCATTAATCACTGCCGTGATTAATGGGTATTAATAAGGTCGAGCAAACAGACGTATAATGGGTACATTATACAATAGTCGTGGATAAAATATATTATTATTATTATTGCTATTATTATTGTCTAAAGCTAGTTAATTTTTTAATTTTTTTATATTCAACGAATGCTCGAATAAACGTACCCTTAATAAAGTTTCCAAAGCAGTACAATTTCGTTTTAGTGTATGGTAACAAAATATTGTAGTCATTGTGAAGTGCCGTATATACTGAGAAAAATGTTAGTGTATTAATGCGTTTATATTTTAGAATATGTAGACGGACGGACCTGTAACGATTGTGGAAAAACTTACAGGCACAAAAGGGGATTAAAAAGGCACCAAACTTACGAGTGTGGGAAAACACCAAAATTTTACTGTTACGTGTGCGATTACAAGGCTCATCGAGCAGAACATCTCAAGATTCACTTCAAAACGAAAAAGCATCTCTCCCATCCAAAGCTGCGAGAAAATCCGAAAGTGATAGAATATAACTGAAATTATTTGTTCATATTGTCCACTGTCTTAAATAAATTATTTAATAATTTCCAATCTTAATTTTCAGCATCCACTAAAAATGTGTATTTTCCAGGTACTACTTTATAACTTTAAAGAGCGATTTTTAATGTTTATGCATAGCGAAATTTGAAGTATTTTAGATTTGTAAAGCTATTTTTAATAAAAATAAATAATTATCTAGTTAAATAAAAATAAATTTCACCAAAATTAAATTTCAAAATTGTTAAAATTTCTGTTTATTTTTTCCACTTAGAATTTTATATTATTTTCTTTATGTCTGTAGCATTTCCCTTGATTGTAGTGAAATATATTTCTTTTTTTATAAATAAAGTATTAACGGAATACCATTTCTTTTAGGTGGAGGACCGCACATTTGTGATACATGTCACAAAACGTACAAGCACAGGGGCAATCTGAGCAGACATAAGAGATACGAATGCAACAAACTACCTTCATACTCCTGTAATTTATGCTTAACGTCGTTTAAGTACAAGCACGTCCTTAAGCAACATTTGATGAGTCACAAGCATACCAACGCAGAGCACGACTTGACGCCTTGGTGAAGTGAATATTGATTGTCGGTGTTGTCGTATTCACTTGTCTTACGGGTGTCTGCGAAAAATTCGGAATAATTTTTTTTTACTCCTTTGATTTTTTGTTAATATTGTACAGGGTGATTCACTATATTTTGACTCCCCATTAACTTTGTTGTTTTAAAAGTTACCTATAAAAAAACATGTGATATACAAAAGTTGCACGATTTTTTATGAGGTTTTCGAAAATGATAGTATAAAAACAAATGAAGTCCAAACAAAATAGCCGGGGATGTTAACATTGTTAATTTAAATGGAACACCCTGTATATTTTTATATATTTGGATAGAACGTTCCATGTCGAGCATAATCATATAGGATTTGTTGGGTCCATCTCTAACGATGGTGCAACTATTGTATTTCACATTTTTATTATTCTTAAAACAAAAAAGTTAAAGGGGGGATCAAAATATAGTGAATCACCCTGTACAGCAGATGTATCGTTATAAAACAATGCGAAGATTAGTAGAATTTGTCTATCGACTTCGTCGCTTCTCGTTTGCTTGAAGCTTACCTCCGTGTAAGAGAAACTTGCGCTAAAAACGTCCAACTTTTTTATATCTTTTGTCTTTTGAGGACTTTCAGAACTTATTTTTACTTAAAACAGTCGCATATGGGACTTTTAAATGCATTTTAGTTAAGTTCTACATTCTAACCGATGCTAGTTAAAAAAAATCAATTTTTCGAAACATTCACTATAATTGAAATGTGTGATAAATGTCTATGTTTATTTTTATATATTTGTTTCCCTGCCTTTTTCATTGCGAGATTTTTGGTTAGTCAAAAATATTTTAATACAAATACATCTTGACTGACTTTCAGCTTCAGCGTAAGGGTTTATTTTAGGTTTTTTTCGTTTAGAAATCGTTTATGTTCATCAAAGGAATAAGTAAAAAACTACAAACGTCTTGATTCTTCTTCTTTGAAATTCTTTTTTTTTGCCTAGGCAGCAGGTTATTTTAGGACCTATCGTTGTTATTCATGTGTAAATGAAACACCGTATATTTTAGAATGTCAAGATACAATGGTTATGTCAAAAATATAGGTACTGTATGTGTGTAAAAACTAATAATTCCGAATTTCATTCATGGACAAAATATAATGCTTTTATTTGATCTCTTTGTGTAAGACTAAATAAAATAAGTTTGTATAAATTAAACGTGTTTTATTTTATACAAGGGTATTCACATAATGTCGTACTCTCTTCCTTATATTGTTTGCTTTTCTATCTGAGAAAAAATGATTAAAAAAACACAAGATTGGTTTATATTCCCGAAATGCAACATCAATTATTTATTTATATACGTATTTCTTCGAAATCCTAAGAATTTATTTTTAATTTTAGTCCTCTAGATGGAAAATCAAAAAATATAAGGCGGGTAGAATTTAGAAACAATATGTGGTTCTTTAAAGACAGGAAACATCAAAACTTGCGAATTATTACCAAAGAAAAATTATACTGAAAATAGAATCATTAATATTTTGTTTTGTGTACTTACCAACAAATCAAATAATTTATTTCCCGTAACAGTTATCACTCACGTGTATATTTTTAGCTAGTTACTAGCCTATCTGGGGTTATTCCAATGCAGTCTTACGATAAATGAATGATACATTAATAGAAAATTCATCCATTCTCAACGTGCTTAAATTCGTATTCGTATTAAATCGTTTATCTTAAAGAAATATTAGCGGTGAAAATGTATGTATTTTGTATTATAGGCAAATACCATATCTTTTCTGATTGCAGATCGTGTTCTGTATAGAATGAAGGAATACAAGTGCAAGACTTGTTACAAATCGTACGCTAAGAAGGGGACTCTCAGCCGACATATGAAATATGAATGCGGGAAATTGCCCCGATTCGGCTGTGGGAAATGCCCTTACAGGGCTTACCAGAAGGTTCACGTGGAGCGGCATCTTTGCAACAAGCACAATCTGAAATTCAGAATGGAAGAAATCGTTCAAAGTATTATTCATTACGATTGATTTCAGGTTGTGTAACTACATCGTTGTTAGACTATTTTTAGAAATAATGTTCAGTTAAAACTCGATTAACACTACTATTTTCGTAACTACAATGTTAATTTAATAATTCGAATTCTAATTTTCTTTGGTATTATACCTATTTTGAAAGCATTTTCTATTTAGGTAGATACGGTATGGCAATGTGATTTATTGAGCACTATTCGTAGGGTCTGGGCATTATGCATTTTGACTATTTTGTTTAAGTATTCTTTTTATTGATTTTGTGGAGCAACTAGTACAATGCACCTTTAATCTAACACAGTATAGGCTATGTAAGCTTTAAAGACTTTACAGAAAAATATGAGTTTAAGTCAGGTTAGATTAGGTTATGGCCAATGTAATCTAATGCAAAAACTTAAAGGGTTAAAAGAATTTCTGAAAAGTTGCGGCACCATGTTATAGGGAAATTTTTTCAATTCTCTGTCCTTTTCCATTAAAAGTGATATTTCGATGAAATATGGTTGTATCGTTTAAAACAAAGGAAATTGAAGCTAGAATTGCGCGATAACTGTAGCTCCTAAAAAATTTCGACCGAAAGATCTAAAAACTAGAATCTTAGAGCTTCAAAATGCTTTTTTCTAATTCCCGATACGACCATTTTTCACCTAAATACAGTCTGTCAAAAATCACAGAAAAATTTCGGAAATTCTTTTGACCCTCTAATTTTTTGCATTAGTTTATAAGGTCATTGCATGTAAGTAGTTCCCAAATAATCACATTGTCCATTACATATACATATTTTCAAAATAGTTGCTCATGCTGGAGTTAATTTTACTCTATGACTTTATAAATGATGAGAAATAAGATAACTAATTGAAAAATATTTTTTTAGAAACTAATTGAATAACTGATAATTATCTGCCTAACAAAAGTTTAATGTAGGATATAAATAAAATTTAATAAACTACTTACATTTTTTAGTTTTTTTTCTCAAATACTGATATTTTTTATTAAATAACTACGAAATATAAAATAATGTGCCCCAGTTGAAAACGATAAGCGTACTTTACTCCAGTTCTAGATTTGCTTAGACGAGTATTTTTATATCCTATGAATATTCTTAATTTGTCAACGTTCAACTACGATTATTTGCTAAAAAAATCCTTAATATTAGAAAAAACGATTATTTACAAACAAATCTGGACTGATTTTCGAGCCCTTTGGTTTATGTTCAGTATTTGAGTAGAGGAATATTTGAGAATTCTAAGAATGTTCGTTGATATACCTTGTTTGTCTTTGTATAAATATTTGTTTGCAAATAATTTCTAAAAAATTTGTGACTGATATACGATAGACTGTTTTAATACTGCACAACTCACAAATTTCCTCCTGTATTAATTTAATTAATTAATTAATTAATTTAATTAGTTTAATTAATTACCCTTAATCTTCTCTTTTACATTTTTGCAGTTAGGTTTTTATTTTAATCTTTGCGTCAGATTTGTTATAGCTGTTTTACATTGACAATTTATTGATCAATTAATCGATGAAGTCGCTTCATCAAGAAATTGGACAAGTGTAATGCACCAAATCAGCTGTCAAATAACTTCATCAGTTTATTCATCAAGTTATTGACGAATTAGAGCATGTTCTAATTTTCGTCAATTTCTTCGTGAAGTTCGGAAGTACCAACCCAACAGATTTCCAGCCTCAGATTAGTAATGAGGTTATGTTATTGGAATATGTAAATAATTGTATGGCGTCGTGCTAGTTTTGCATTGTTTTTACTGATTTGTTACTTACAAAAACTAATATTTATATAATATGTGTCAGGACGGTACCGCTGTTGTATCACTACAATTATGAGTCGAAAGGTGACATTTTTGAAATTTATTTGCTTCTTTGATTCATTGGTAGAACCGATTCATGCGTCAAAAAACTTGATAAAGTCTGTAGCAGTGTAAAACCACACTGTTTACCAATAAATTCGTGAATTAATTCATGAAGAACTTCGTCAATTTATTGATGAATAAATTGTCAATGTAAAACAGCTATTAAAAACGAGGTTTATCTATTATAGGATCATTGAGATGAGGACAAAACTGGACTTGTCATTTTTTTAGAAAGTAGGTATTCATTAACTTTTGCGAAACATTGTATTCCTAATTGTCATATTTTATGGACAAATTATAAAACTTCTCTGTTGTAGGTAAACGTTACTACACCTGTTATAGTTGTAACAAAAATTATAGACATAACCAGTCACTTAGAAGACATACGAAGTATGAGTGTGGAAAACTGCCCCTGTTTTGTTGTCAGATACAGGGGTGTCAATTTAAATCTAAAATCAAAAGCAATTTGAAACAGCACATGTGTCGCCACTTCAAGAAGAAGAAATAGTCTAAAGGTTAAAGGCAAAATGTTCTCAAGTACAAATATGAAATAAAGAATTATAGTCATTTGGAAATAAAAATATTTTTTGCTTCCATGTCATATTTATTTATATAAGCTAATTATAATTTTACTGCGATGTAGTTCTTTTTATATACCTACAATCTGAATTATTTTATGTGTGGCACAATAAAATACTTGTCATGGATTGTTATTTGATATGTTGATTTTGTTTGCTATTTTATCTTTTAGAATCTGATGTAAGTAAGGAGAAGTATTAAAACTGGTGATCCTTCGTGGTTGAATCTTCTGCATTGTTTGAAATCATTGCCCTGCGACGTCCTGCTCTTGATTTTCCCCTATCAACGATACTAGAGGGAAATCAAGTGTTTTAATCCACTCCCGCCATTTTTCTCTAGCCCTTCCACATTTGCTCCATCTGACCAATAAGAGGACAGAGAGTTCTGTATCAACCAATCAGATGACAAAGGATTTGGAAATAATTTAGAAACCAAGAACCGATTAGAACATTTAATCTCCAATTCCAAAATTTCTTCTGAAATAAAGACTGACATCGGACTATCCAGTCCAGAAGTTGTTCATCTAAGAACTATGGAAATTCGAACGTTTCAAGTACTTACTAATAACAGTATTTTATTTATGTTTAATTATAAAGTTCACGCTGTACAAATTTGTGATAAATTATGTGATATCAGTGAGTCTTCTTTGTCCTTTTGTGCTGTACAATCACATCAAATCAGAAAATGAATTTTAGTACATGTGGTTTAATCATATGTTTTTTCAGTTCCGTGAATGATGGCATTTACGATATTTATTATTATAAGGAAGTTTTAACTACTTTCTAATTTAAAAACACCCCTCTTTCCTGTTCCAGAACTAAAAATCTGTAAATATTTGTATATTAAACACAGCAGTTAATTCAGTGTCACAATTACCAGCTTATCTTATAGTAACAAGTAGCTTAATGTAAATTGCTTAACCCAGGGGTTATTATATATCTATAAATCAGATCAGATCAGAATTGTCCATTAAAGAAAATCTTTAATGAACTGTAGCTGTACTTTTTTGGATATGAACTTGATTTGTAGAAATTAACCACATCATCGCAAATTGTTCTAACCCGTATTTTTAAACAGCACCTGTTTTTTTTTTAATTAACTACGCCTACAGTATATGTCTTTAATTTTAGTGGCATGGTATTTATGTGAAACCGAATTAGTTGAGCCTTCTGATCAGGAACTAAGCTTCGGATCGGATGAAGACGAGGATGATATTGGTGGGTATACCTGCAACGTGTGTGGTAAGTTCTACATGAGCAGAAGTTCCCTGTCTAGACACCTAAAGTATGAATGCCAAAAAGAACCAACATACAAGTGCCTATATCCCAATTGTAATTACATGGGCAAATACGCTGTGAGCGTCAGACGTCATATGTCCAGGATTCATCCAGATTTCGATTTTGCGGAAATTAGGGATAATTTGTTTAGTTAAATTTAATTGTAATGTTCTTACCAAAGATTATGTTAATTATCTAGCAGGAATAGTAAACTGTTTGCCATAGAAAATTACCTGAATGGAATGAAAGCAAGTAATATTTCAATTTTATTTAAAAAAGAAACTAAAATTGTAGTTCTTTTTTCCCTTTTCCTTATCACACTTAATATTTTTTATACTAGTTTGCACTGTTTTTTTCGTCAAATGAGATTTTAGTACCTACATAGTTATACATATAATAGAAATTGCGAAGAAGATTGAAATATTACTTATTTCAAAACAGACAGATAGGTGCATTAGATTTAATATATATTTTTTCGAAATATGAATTAGACAAATATATAACTGATTGATCTTACAGTTAGCTAGTTTGCTTGTGATAATGCAATCTATTTTTTATATACCAACTATTTTATTTTTTATTTTCGTCATGCAAATCTAAGCTTTGTATAAATATCTATATATTTGTTGATAAAACTGTAATTGTAAAATGAATATGGTTTTGATGTATCTGTTTATTCCAATGTTTCGTGTATTTTCTTCTGGATTTTAATTGTTTTATGGACATCTAAAACTGTCTGTCTCCTGGGAATAATTTTTCCAGCCACTCTCATTAAAATTGACGTGGTAACTAAATATTCAGGATTATGCTTGTTGAATAAAATACACGGACCAAAAATATATAAATAAAGTCAATTTTCATTGAATCCGTTCTCCTGTTGTATCAGTTGGTACTTCTAATATAATTTATAATCATCGTTGTCAGGATACTATGATTAAAAATCAACGAAGGGAAGGTTATTTTGTCTTTATGGTTTGAAGTAAGAAAAGTATTTTGAATTCTAAAAGTCAAGGGAAACTACACCATCTTTTTAATTATTGATATGAGCAACAACTATTCTGCGGACTACAGCCCCGACGAGCATTAAATTACACCCGCAATATCCAGTAAATAGCTAACCACAACACACGTCTTGAATTTTTAGTTTGGCATTGTCCAGTTAAGTTTGTTAAAGGCCGATTTTCCACACTGAGATCGGAACAAAGCTTTACCTGTCATTTTCTATTGAAGTAGGGATTCATTATGTTTTGTTCGGATTTATATTGCCAACTAACATAGTGTATACGAAAATATTATGTATAACAGTTCTCTGTTGTAGGTGAACGCCTGTATCCTTGTTATCGCTGTAACAAAATTTATAGACATAACACATCACTAAAGAGACATACGGACTATGAGTGTGGAAAGCCTCCTCTGTTTTATTGCGAGGTAGAAGGCTGTGAGTTTAAGTCCAAAATCAAAAGTAATTTGAAACGGCACATGTGTCGACACACTAGGATGTTGAAATAGTCCTAATGTTAGAGACCAAATATTTAAAAGTACAAATATGGTGTCTATAAAGAAATAATTATTGAGAATCCTTATATGTTTATTGAATTTATCTAATACAAACATCAAAATACTATTTACTTAAAATAAAGTAATTAAATCATATGCACTTGAAAATAAGTGTTTTTATATCCTTATTGCTCTGCAGTTACTGTTATGAATTATGTTGTGGGCATAGTTTTTTTTTTTCAGTTTATCTTCTTTTTATCAACATCCTAATTCAGGAAAAGTTTGAATTATCTACTTTTAGACTACAAGCCCATCGGAAATTTTCAAGGGGTCATTTGAGCCAGTATGAATTACTTATAAATTATAAATACTACCACATATAACAATAACTCTAGAAACTATGCCGTGAATTCTTGTTGGTACAGGTGAATACACAGGTAAGCTAAACCTGTCCACCAAGGAGGTGGTTTTCGGCAAAACATTTTCGTACAGCATTTCTAAAGTATATAGGTTATACAAAAAAAAAATAACCTCGACCTAATGCCGTACAAAAATAGCAATACCGGAAGCCAGGAAAATTTTTGATTTTCTGAAAATTTTGGCCCGGTTTTTGGTGATTTACTACAGTACGCCATTTATACATTTCGAATTGATACGTAGATAACTTAAAAGGCAAATATGTAAGTAGGTTCAAAAATATATTTACTACAATCGCCACGACTAAATACGCTTTTTTTTATATATTAACATAATCATTACTTTCAGCGAGGTTTCCATGTCACCAGTGCCAAAGGATTTACAGAAGATACAAGCACCTACAGAGACACGTAAGGTACGAGTGTCAGAAGGAGCCTCTCTTCAACTGCGATCTGTGCTCGAAAAAGTTTTTCCACAAGTACAATTTAAAGGTTCACGCTATGCGTCGGCATCCAGGTTATGAAATTTTATAAATGAAAACGGCGTTTAATGTATGAAGACCAAAAATACAAACATTAAAGCATATACCACTCAGAAATTTATTATTATAAAGTTTATTAAAAATAGAGTCTATCAATTAATTCTAAGGGGAACAAATTAAAAGTGGTTTGAATAGTTTTTCCAACAAATTTATTTGCTTGATATATTGTTATTAATGTGATTGTCAACATTTAAGCGTATTTAACTATACTCCTTTATAAATTACGCAATTGTAATATAAATAAAGGTAATAGAGAGTGACTTTATTATTTATTAATCAAGGTTATTTCAACTGAAAGTGTGAAACAATAGATCAGCAAAATCTTCATATCTCAATATATTCTTCAACTGCCACAGTATGAAATACTTAGAACATTTAACTACAAAAAAGCGTTTATAATGTCGCTAATTGGTCTAAGATAATAAAATTTGTCGATATGTAAGACTAAACCCCATTTCACATAGACGCTGATGGTCGGCAGGGTGACCATCAGCACGCTGACGATTAGCATTAGCCTCACTCAAACAGACACTGACGGTCAGCGTTTTAGCAAAATAAACTCTGACGAAAACACATTGATATGTAGTTGTTGACATATCTACTGACCTACCGAGTGTGAAACGTATATAATATCAACAAGCACATTGACCATCGGTGCGCTGATCGTCAGCATCTTTCTGAAACGGGGCTAAGGCGAAATTTGTCAAGCAACATTAATTTAAAATCTCTTTGCATGATGGTGTGTTTATTATGTAAGTATCGAAGATGTAGTATCAGAATAGAATCCTGGTACTTCCTCTAGTTGGTACTCTCCATCGTTAATGAATGAAATATATTTATGTCTGCTTAGTTTTAGGCTCCAACTCTTGCTTCAAATGCGGGAAAAGATTCAAGCAACGCTTTAACATGCTCATTCATGTAAGGGAGTGCGGCGAACCGCCAAATATTAATTGTCCGTATTGTCCTCACAAAACCCACAGAAGAACGAACCTTCGGATTCATATAAAAAACAAACATAAAATGTTTCAGAACCTGTAGAAAATAAAGCCAACAAAGAATTTGTATATTTTATTTCAAATTTAGGGTTTCTGGGTGTAAAAATAACAGACATACAAAGAAAATTGTTTGTTCTACTGATGAGGTCCATACCACCTCGTTTTGGACGATTTTACAATGGAAAATGCTCTATCATCATTCAGTTTTTTTTTTGATTGCCAAAAAGATACCTTTGAGTTTTCTTTTTTTCTTTTGTGTCGCTCTCTTTTATCTTCAAACGATATATGTTCATGATTTCATAAATATGTCTCTTTAAGATCCTCTAACACAGGAAAAGAGTAACCAAAAACTACTATATTGATTTACATCAGCTTTTTGGATGTAGTTTTCTACAGAGTCAATTTTTTCAACTCGTTGGCAACTATCTCCAGCTATTTTTGATGTATCATGTCTGCAGAACCTCCTCCATAGAGAAGAGTTTCTGATATCCACCAATAGATACAGGGTTACAGGACTGAGTTTGTCTTCGTATGACTAGGATGTGGCAGCGATATGTTGTGACTTGAATCCGCCAAATGTAGAATTTTAGCTAATTTTTAGGTTTTAAAGGTAGTTTTCTGGTGGTCACCCGAGGGTGAAGGTCGGCTTGATTGATTGAATCTTTGAATATCCAAAAATGCAATACGCTTCAGTAATATGATCCGTCCACTTATCTCCATAGCAGTACCAAGGAGAAAACAACTGAATAATGTGTTGCTTTTTAGGTATTAGTTCTGATTTCTGAGAATTTATGAAAACTGAAGGGCGACAGAGCATTTTCTATAGCAGATTTGGTTTCTAAGAATCCAAATACATAGGTGGAAATAGATCCAAACCCAAATGTTTAGGGTAATATTTACTTAGTTATCTTTCTCTAAAATTCAAACCAAAATTCCTGAAGCAATATTCCATTTTAAACCTTACATTGTAAATATTTATCTTTGACTACTTACTGACACAAAACGTAAAAGCAACATTTGTATTAATAAATCCATATTAGTATTTCAGTGAAATTTATTTTATCTGTTCATTTGTTTTAGAAACCTATAAGTGTCCAAATTGTAGTCGACAGTACACAAGAAGAAATAACCTGAACAGACATCTGAAAGTAGAATGTGGACAGCAGCCCATGTTTCAGTGTGGTATTTGCTTCGTAAATTTTAAATATAACCACGTTCTTAGAAGACACTTGAATTGTGTGCATGGTGTAGTTGGTTCGATGCTGAAATAATCAGATATCATCGTTATATTTTTTATTAAAGATACATAGAAATGAAAAATATGAAATAGTAATAAACCAATGAATCTGTACGATGTATTTATTATTTTTACTGTACTCGGCAAAAAGGTTTTGTAAAAGAATAATTTAAATAAAAATTAGTTATTACGTCTGTATGGAATGTCACTGTCAAAATTATAAACGATTAATAATAAATTGATAAACAAGATTGTGACTATAATTTTAAAAAATTAAACGCTGAAATGTACAAGATATCCCAGATAAATAACTACATATTATATTCCTTCCAAAAAAGGAAAACTGTTTTACTTAAAAGCATCATATTGACAAATCAGCTTACCTTTATTTGATCAGCATTTAAAATCAACTCGTTATACTATATATAGTTACTAGTTTTTTTTGTACATTGTCTTTTGTGTGCCCAAATTTTAAATAAATAGGTTTTCAGGGTTAAAATGTTATAAATGCAGCAACTGTGGAAAGACATACAGATACAAAACGACCCTAGCAACTCACATATCGAAAGAATGTGGAAAAGAGAGAAAAAATGTATGTCACCTGTGTTCATACAGATCGCACCATACAGGAAATCTAAAAAGGCACCTTGCTACCATCCACAATCTTTTTATGAGCACTCAGGAAATAAGGCAATTACTTAGTGTCAGGATTAAAAAATAAATAATAAAAAAATGTTTTCGAATTACGTTTACAATAAAATTTTTTGTAATATTCAGAAAATGGTGTGTTTGTAAGAACATCTCCAAAAATTAAAATATCTTTATCATAACTTATTATTTTTTAATGCCTCGTGTATTTATTATTGACAGCTTTTGTTACAGATTATGATATAAGGATGTGTTAGTGACAATAAAATTAATAAATAATAGTTTCGAAAAAAATCGTACCAAGTTGTATTTTTTTCATTAGTGTCATTTTATTATATGTTTATCAAATTGTTGCGGATTTTTATCAAATATATTTAATGTGCTTTTTAGGAAAAACAAAAGTAGGTACCTACATACCTTCCCTATTCAAATACATTATTTCATGCAGTATTAATATTTTGTACATAATTTAACAAGTATTGTTTTTAGGTGTAAATTATTATCCTTGTCCAAACTGTGGGAAAAAATATAAATACAAACATACAATGACTACTCATTTTTCGAAGGAATGTGGAAAAGAACCAGAAAATGCCTGTCATTTGTGCTGTTACAAGGCATATCAAATGGGAAATCTCAAAAGGCATCTCAGAGTTATACACAACATCCACATGGAAACTAAACAAATAAAGCAAATACTACAGAAAATTTGATGGAAAGAACATAGAATTTTGGAAATCATAGTATGATTAAATTCATACTAACCAAACAATGAAAAATTTTAAATGATTAATATATGTGTTAACTAACAACTATATAATATTTTTGTACTAACAAAATTAAACAGAAGATTAATGTGTGCTGCTCATTGGTTCTTTAAAAAAAATTTGTAGCTGATATTTGCAAATATTAATACAAATATTTGAAAATTTATATTGGGTTTTACCCTTGAAAATGTAGTTAACAGATATACATATAATAAAAAATAATTACACGCTTTTAAAAATTTAAATAACTAAAATTTGTCTTCTTCCAGCATTTACCTCCGTGAAAGTCTATACATGTGAAGTTTGCAACAAAAGGTACACTCACCAAGCGTCGTTATACAATCACAAAAAGTATACTTGTGGAAAGTCGCCAAATCTGTTTTGTACCTTTTGCAACTTTTCCACGAAATATGCCCAAAACATGCAGCAACACGTAAGAGTGAAGCACAACATCAGATTAACACGTTCACAGTTGGTTAAGAAAAATGATGTAAATGTTACATATACATAATATAAATAAATGAATATGTAAGTGTAGTCGTCAATCAAGTAAAAATTGCAGGAGTAGCAATTTTGGAAATGAATTTAGTATTGGATAAAGGAATCTCGCGAAAAATGCTGTTGTACATAGTGTTGCTTTAAGAATGGAACAGAGTCTAATGGCAGAGATCAAAATAGTTTCATTGAGCTTAACATACCTTAATTGAATACTGTTTATTTTTAATTTACGGATTAAAAAATAAGATATCAGTAAATATATGTTTTAGTATGAGAATTTTGATAAAGAACACTATACACAACTTATTGGTAGCGTGACTAGTTAATGTACTGTAACTGCTACTGCAAATGACAAGTCTCAATTTAATTGTACTAACATTCTCCACACATTAACACATATCTGCTAGTTCTTGATCAGAAAACATTTTATACGCCGGCTAAATAATACTGCAAAACACAACGCACCTGCACAAGATGCACAGGGTTGACTTACAATTATGGTTAATTTTCTTAATTAATTTTCTCGAAAACAGAATAATTTAGCCCTTCAGTTGTTTAATAGAAGTTGTTCATTTTCGTGCCATCTATCGCCCAGGAATGCACTTATTTCAGAAACGCTGTGTATATAATGCTTTAAAATGTATTCAGTTTTATTTTCTCGAAGTTTTCATCATTTTTAACTTAAACTGTCTCGCCAATATCTTTGGCACGAAAAATGACTTCGGATGAGGCGGAGTCGAGCGGGACTATCGCTCTTTACCCACGCCATCTTTGCAAGCGCGGACGCCTCGTAGAGACAGGCTTTTTCCCCGTTATCCTGAACCACTGACGCGACCAAGTTCGAGCGGTTTGTGGGGCCTCCTGTTCTGGCAATTGAAACAGTAAATACGTGAAGGATACGTAATAAATAAATAAATAAATAAAAGAACACTATATTTTAAATCATGGCCAACGTTTCGGTGTTATTTTACATCACACCGAAACGTTGGCAATGATTTAAAATATAGTGTTCTTTTATTTATTGATCTTTATCCCACTAAAACCTTGACTTGGATAACTAATCAAAATCGCAAAACAGTGGAAACGTAATTATTATTATTTTTAAGTACTTAAGACTACGTAGATTTGTATAATATAACTTTTGTCTCCCACTATAAGATAACAGGAATACTTCTCGAATTGATATTCCATTTTGACAGTATACCAGTGGTGATGATTTAGTGGTGTTTATATTTACCGAAAAAAGAGCAGATGTGATTTTATTAATAACTTAATCGTAACTGGTTCTAGGGTTAAGTAGTGTACATATTCTCACAGTTAATTACACTTTTAATATGTGACAGTTCTAACAATACCCGTTTTACAGGAATGCCGGTGAAAATCGAACTGCTGGAAGAGCAGAACAAAGTACTAAACCCTTGGCTTACTCTGGCCAAGGAGCTCGCCAAACCCAAAAAGAAATGCCGCAGGATCAGGGGAAACTTCATCTGCAACGAGTGTAGTCGTAGCTACATAAGAAAGGATTCCCTACAGAGGCATTTGACGTATGAGTGCGGCAAGGAACCCCAATTTCAATGCCCCTTTTGTCCCCAGAAATGTAAGAGGAAGGCCCATAGGATCAGACACATCAAGCGGCAGCATAAAGACAAAATTGGCATCTTGGAAGAAAATAACCCTGACATGTTTGTTAAAGACGAAGAAATCAATTAGACAGTATCATATCGAAAATTGTTTTTTGTATTTATAGTTATACATCACATTTTTTTAGTTTATTTTCCACAAGTAATTGTAATAATAATACCATTTATTTTAGGTTAAGTAAATTGCATATTTCTGAATGTATATGTGAAAGATGCAGGACGTTACAGAAGAGGTATATATTATTAACTGTTTCTGTCCGTGTTTTGTGTTCTTATTAATTTAATTTTTTAATATTTATTTTTATGTTATGTATATTATTTGCTTGTTTTGCTTTCTAATAGCAAGCTTAATTTATTTTACACTAATTCAGATACATATTCAAATCAAATTCTTAATGACCGCGAGCTAGCGCACATGGGTGTGGCGTCATCGAAAAATGTCTGGCATTTTGAGGTCTGAAAAACGTAAGTTAGTTAATGAAAATAAGGGTGGTTTTAAGAGTCGACCCTTGTTCGAAAATTTGGAAAATTAATTTCCTTTTGCACAAAATAATCAATTTTTCACTCATCTTAGAGTGTCTGGCAGTTGACGCAAAAATTGATATTAATAATAATAAGTACCTACCAATTTTCAAATGCCAGACGGTTTTAAATAGCCGAAAGGGTGGTTCATATGGGCGAACTTGCTAGAAGGAAAAAAAAAATCATCGTTTACTTTTTGTCTGGCAATCGAAACAATGAAAATTTTTGTTATGAAAATGATAAAAATAAATTTGCCAGACGGTTTCCAATGTTCGGAGTCGAGTTTCTCTGTTGAAACTTTTTAACATTTTTCAGTGATCACTATTTGTCTGGTATCTCGGGTACTTAAAATTAATACCCATATTTCTTGTCACAAAAAAAATTGCCAGACAAATTGGAAAATGAAAAAATTATGCCAGACAAAAGAAAATTCGTAAAAAATATATTAAAGTTTAAATGATTTATTTTTGTCTGGCATTTTGAATTTCAATTAGAAATACGTGTATAAACACAATTTACATATGCCAGACGAGTTGAGATGTTCGAAAATGTATAAATGAATTGAAAAGTTACAAAAAAATTTGTGAAAACTTGGTTTTCTTTTTTTTTCTAATTTAAACGATTTATTTTTGTCTGGCATTTTGCATTACTATTGAAAATACATATTTATACTTCAGGTTAAAACGCCAGACAAGTTGGGTTGTACGAAAATTAAAATATATATATATTATATTAAATAGTTGTAAAAAAATTAATGAAAACTTCAGTGTCTTTTTTTTATCTGGCTATTCGTTTTAATACGCCTTCTTTTTTTTGTACATTAAGATCACTGAAAAATGTAAAAATGTTTCACATAATTTTCCGCAGAGATACTCGACTCCGAACATTGGAAACCGCCTGGCAATTTATTTTTATCATTTTCATAACAAAAATTTTCATTGATTCGATTGCCAGACAAAAAGTAAACGATGAGTTTTTTTCTTGCAAATTCACTCCTATGAACCACCCTTTCGACTATTAAAAACCGTCTGGCATTTGAAAATTATTAGCTACTTATTAATGTCTATTTGTGCATCAACTGCTAGACACTTTAAGATGAGTGATGAACTAATTATTTTGTGCCAAAGGAAATTAATTTTCCAAATTTTCGAACACTGGTAGGCCCTTAAAACCACCCTTATTTTCATTAACTAACTTACCTTTTTCAGACCTCAAAATGCCAGGCATTTCTCGATGACGCCACACCCATGTGCGCTAGCTTAAGATTTATAAGCAATGATTGAAATGTCCCGAATTGCTTAAGCCAAACATTGCATACAAACATCTATAGACATACAGAGAAATAGATACAGGGTGTTGAAAATTCTTGGAATGGATTTTTGAATATATTCGTAACATCTAAATATAAAGAAATGAAAGTTTACACGTTATTTCACTTTTGTCACATGACAAAATGTCACATATGAAGCAGTATATTTCGTTGCGATATAGGTTTTATTTAATTAAGACTGTAAAATTTGGACTTTTTTATATAGACTTATTACTTAATAGTTGTAATGTACATTTAAAATATTTCTACTCGCAAGACATTTTTTTTGTAAAAAAGGAAATGTCGCGTTAAGAAACGCAGTGCAAAATCTTTCCTGCACCCGTCAGTATTACCCGCCCCTGTATAATGATAATTCATAATTATCATTTTGTCCGATAAAAGATATACGGAAAGTGTTTTGGTTTTTCTACAACCCAGCAAAATTTTAAAATATCCAAAATGAAAATTTGTATTGTCGGTCTAGGATGCCATGAAATCAAACTAACAATTTTTAGACCACATGGAAACACTTTTTTCGATTTGTGAATCTTATGCAATTCGGGATACCTTTAATTATGAGGTCATGTTATATCACAGTCTTAATGAAGTCTTTCATGTTGAAATTAAAAATAGTATATGACATTTATTCAGCTATCTCTAAGTTGTTTGACATAGACTGATGAAATTTACTGAATTATTACACAAATTCGTCAAGCAGTGACTTAGATACTGGGACAAGATATTGTCACGAAAATTTCGACATCACTGGGTATTGTTGTGTTAAATTAACACTTTTCAGTGTAAAATGACCCAAAGAATACCCTTTTGGAGTTGTGACATGAACTTTGAACACACTCGTCAAAATTACTAAGGGCAGTATATAACAATTATAAAAAAATATGTATTTGGATAATATGATTGGTACGTCTTTTGGACGGCCATTTTGTATTTAAAAAAATCCGACTTACACAGTATATGTGGACACTGTAGGTATATTTGTTGGTGCCAAGACTGCATTATTTTTTCGCCTTAACATTTTTTTTTAATTAAATATAGCACTGCATCCAATTTTTTAATTTGTGTTTATTTTATTTTTACTAGTCTCTTTTTCCGACATCACATTTTGTTGTATATATTTGGTGAAGGTGCGCTTTTCAATAAAACCTTTTATTTAATTTCCGATTTTTTATTATTACTTTTTATTTTGCCTGTTTTGTACATAGTTTCTCTCTCCCCTTCCAAGCGTAATCCCCCACTAATTGTTCTTTCTCTTCCAGTGGAAGATCTGAGCGTATCCCACTCCTGGGACCGTTGGCCATCCCACCTTCTGCTGCCGATGATGCTGATGAGGGAAAACATGAAGCATTCGATGCTGCAAAGCATCAACACGTCTTCGTCTTCGTTGGATCTCTCCTCCAATCCCAAATCCAAGAGTAAATCGAGTGCGGAGGGAGGGGGTTTCGTCTGCGGTGACTGCGGCAGAACGTACAAGCTCAAGAGTTCTTTGAGGAACCATCAGAAGTGGGAATGTGGCAAAGAGCCTCAGTTCAAGTGCCCCTACTGTTCTTACAAGGCCAAGCAGAAGATGCACATGGCTAGACACCTGGAACGCATGCACAGGGAAATAGATATTTCTGCTGTTAGGGAAATTAAGACAGAGCCGTTAGAAGATGACAACGGTAAAGAAAGCGCGTGCTCAACTGTTAAATCAGGAACAAAGAGCGGTTTAATGGCAAAGGAACGTCAAGATAGTGCGAAAAATATTGAAGGGGAGCAATTCTCTGAGGCTCTAGCTCAGGATTTAAGTTGTTCTCAGGATTAATGAAAAATCAGGATTGTTTAACATAATTGCGGAAATACCATTTTAGTTTATTGTATTTTTGTTAAGATTCTACTAGTTTTACACTTTTCTCTTTGTTTTAGAATGAAGTAATTTTATTAAATAAGTTACCAGGTGTTGCCCAGAAAGAAATCACACTACAACAAATTTGAAAAGCTCAGTGTCTATTTTTTATTAATGAAACCGACGTCTTTATTTAGATTAATTAAGTCGCATTTACAGGAGTTACTTTGGATGATCACCACGTAAAGCTCATCAAAAGACAGCTTTTAAGATACATTTACTTTTCGAACTCACAAATGTTTTTATAATTATTACATTATTTCCCTAAATTTTTTAGGAAATATACCACATTTCTTATTTAAATTTCAGTAATAATTACATTGATTTAAAATCTGTAGCACTGCCATTATAACTTCATTAATATTCATTGGGGCATGTCCTTTAGCCGATATTTTAAAAAAGTTCCTATGTCTAAAGACCATTCGAACGATTTTTTTTAGATATCCGTATATTACCTCATGTCTAGCAAACTGAAGCTAGATTTTATTTACTTCACTGCCATATTTCAGGAGTACTTAGATTACTCATTGTTTAAAAAGACAAACACATAGTATTCCTCAAAGTTGTAAAGTTAGATTACACGTAATATAATATATGGTTCTCATGTAAAAAAAAGTACGTTGAACTTAATATTTGAAGCATATTATGCAGACGTATTATTTTAAATGAATGGCAAAGAGGACGTTAAAATATAGTATTTGTTAATACGTAAAACGGTTTGTTTAAACTATAATTAATAAAAGCAAAACTGCAATAATTAAAGCTTTGCTTAAAACTTATTTTACAATACGTTTCCTTTGGTATTGGGAGTATACGATATATTTTAAATTTTTCGCATAATATTCTAAGAATTATTAAGAAGCTTTTATACATATTAAAAAAGTTATTACTGGTTACAGTGGTTGCAAACCACTATAATTCCCCAGTAATATGAAATTAAATAGAATTGTATGACGTAATATCTTTCTTCAACAATAAATTATTTTACTCGAGGGAAATTTTCTACAAAAATATCTGTGGAATTCTTAATTTTATGCGGTCTACTTAACATCGCTTTTTAAATTCTTGATTGATTGTTACTATTATACTTAATATATTTTTTATAATCTAGTGCTAGTAAAACATTAAAAAAATTGTAAAATGTGATATTAAAATCAATAGATAAGTTGGTTCGGAATAGGGAACTTAAGTATATTTTCGTAATTGATAATTTTATACCAACATGAGTTATCAACTCTAGTTGTGGAAAAAATGTAATTTTTGTCAACTTTTATATGTGAAAAAATTACTTAATTGGAAAATTATGTACATATATTTTCAAGTACGTTTTATAATGACGGTTAGTCACATATAGGCTTCTTTTTTTATACACAAAAATGTGCTTTCAGTAAATTAGGCAAGGTGATATGCTTTATAGGTAGTTTGTAGGATTATACGTTTATTTAAGATACAGGAGAACGTAAAATACATCTAAAAAAATTCCCAGTCAACTAGGTTTAATCTACCCTTAATACTCATTCTAAAGATTGTGATTTTTTTTACCATTACTTAAAATAGATTACAGTTCCTTTACACATATCAGCCAGTGATTCAATAGGTTTACACCAGTTATTTTTATATTTCCTTTAGTATTAGAGTTTTGTTGAGTTATATGAAAATAATGTTGCTTGCAGGTAGTGGTAATTTTTAATAAATATTTTTTTAAATTTTGTTTTAGTTTTGTATTTGTTACCCCTTACTTTGAATTGGTTGTCAATGTACTTATTGTTTTACTATACTTTTATTTCACTGAATAATTAGCAATTAGTTCAACGAAAAATTGAAAATTATAAAAATTTAATACAAGCGATTTACAACAGTAATACATACTAGGGTGGCCCAAAAAAATTGAATTTTTTTTTCGTGTCTCTTGTGAAAATATGTTAGTTTATCATGTTTTAAGAGCCCCCTCAAAAATCAGCTCAAAAAAAAATTTTTTATAAGGCGCTCAAGGTTTTTAAAAATTTTCAAAATCGTCAAAAATGGAATTTTTTTTCAATTTTTTTCTCGATCTCGATTCTGAAAATTTCAAATCGATATTGTAATTTCTAAAGATCACTCATAATTATTTTAACTTTCAAAGTAGTGTACCTATGTTTTCGAGTGACCTCTAAAAAATAAATATCAACGAACTAATCATTATTTTTTTTTTATTGAATTTGTTGAGCAAAAGAATAGAAATAAATCACGAGACACTTAAATTTAAAAAAATTAAAAAATTATAAATATTTGATACTCACTGTGCGGTAGTAAATTTTGCCTCGAGAAATTTTGTAAGTGCTAACTAACAAAGTAGGATGTGCAAAACAGCGATATAAATAAATTGTCCCGGGGTCAAGCAAAAGCGGCTCGAGAAATCGCTCTTTTTGCATTAAATAGAAGTTATTATTTTTGTAGTAATTTTTATTTAAAGAAAAGGAAATCACCTACACCTCTTTGTTCCCAAGATAAGCCTTTTTATACGTTAATTGTTAATTAACTATTGAACGTATCGGACCCGGATTTTAGAGAAAATTAAAGAAAGGGTTATACTTTTATTTTCAAAAGTTTTACATTGATAGCTAGTAAAAGTATTGTAGGTAATTTAATTGCCTAAAACATAAAATAATTAATTTTCCGATAGCTCGTCTAGATTTTCATAGGCAGTAACAACAGTGAAAAAACTCAGCATCACTTATTTCGAGTTAGTTTTTTGATATTATCATTCTACACACCTTTCCTCGTCATAAACTGCAATAAAATGTCTACTAACAATTTTTTTACGTTCAAACTCTAATTGACTGAACTATAACGTATATTACTGAAAATAGTCTTCATTTTCAGTCATTTTCATGAAATTCAGTTGTAATTTTTTGAACTTCACAAAGCATTATTTCGTTTTGAGAACAAACATTAATTTGTTACGATGACTTGATAGAAAATTATGAATATGTTAATTATTTTGTACAAAATATTTTAAAATATCATCTTAGCAGTTTTATGCAATCAGTTGTTTTCTAATGATTGTCTATTTTCACCCTGATGATGGCATAATAGCCGAAACTATTGGGAAAGGAACTAAACGTTTATACTAAAATAAAAAGAACTAATTACCCAAGGCTTCTTTTGGTTCTGTCAGCGAACAGTCCTAGAACAGTTCAGAATAGTTGCCCAACTGTATTGTCAGTATGTTGTGGCTTAGAATATGTTCTTATCAACTAATTTGAACCGTCCTAGAACCGTTCTCTGTCGGAACCAAAACACACCCCTGGACACACTTATCACTTATCAGCATTTAGTATTACCATGGATTTTGCCAAGAAGTTGTGACGCTCCCACCCTGTAAGTTGTGTGTTGAAGGTCAGTGCGAAAAGTGGGAGTTCGAAAAGTGTACTGGACAGGAGGGAGCGCGGGATGTAGAGTGCAGGACAGTCAGTGCTAAGCCTGTAGAGAAGGAGGATGCAAGTAGAAATGGACTCACGACCTACGAAAGACTAGGCAGAATCTTCGTGAGCAGAGTACATTTTGTTTTTACTAGTTTAATATTTGACGTTCTGAGTTACAGAATCGCATGCTTGGTGAAACTCGGTACTAATTTATGAGAATATTATTTGACAGTTAATAGTTTTGATTTAATGGAACGAATAACGCGTAGGAGTCGACTTGAAAGCAAGCACAGGTGTCTGTTGGTCGAGAACCAGTTTTTATGTCTAATTGCTGGTTTTTCTCGACTTATTGTGGACTACTGTAGATGCATTTCGAAAGAATATTATTAGATATAGTTTTCTGGTTAATTTGTAATATTTTGGAACCATATTTATGCATATAACTATAGAAGTAAATCTGACAAAATGGCTAGGAAAGCTGTAGAAAAAGTTGAACAGACCTTGTCTAAATTAACATATGTTTTGGTTAATTTAAACGTAAATAATGTGCAGTTAACTGGCGCTGTTGAGAAAATGAATGTTAATATAAAACGCAATTTGATTAATTTAGGTAAATCTTTTGAAGATTTGCCTTTGAATATTTATAAATCAATTGATCCGATTTGAACAGAAAATAAAGCGAATGACGGTAGTACTGTGCCAGGCTATTATCAATGTATTAATAAAAACTACCTATATTGTTTTATGGAAACATTTTTCACCTGGCGAATCATTACATTGCTTTTTATGAAAAAACTTACAAGTTTTTTTGATGAAGCGGGAGTACTAGTACAAGAATTTCTTTAACAGTTAGTTGTTGCAGATCAGTTAAAGATTGGAGCACTTTAGAGAAATATTGCCTTTCTATTACTGACAAATTGGCATAAAAAGGAACACCAAAATTTCACCGTATTTCCTATAATGGAGATATATATGTCTTTAAAGTACTGCCATTTGGTTTGTCTACCTCTGTTGGTTCATTTATTCGTTGTTTAAATATGATCTCGGCCCAGAGGTTGAAACCTACATATTACATTTTACTGACGACCTTTTGATTTATTCAAAAAAGTTTTGAATTATTTTCAGCACAGTTTATATGTTTTTTGTATTAATAAAATTCTTAATAAACTTACTGGAGATTTTAAAGAGAACATTAATGACATGGAAATTATTTGCCATTAATTTTTACCATTTCGTTTCACTTTCCGTCTATATGTACACTAATGCAAAAAATTAAAGGGTCAAAACAATTTCCGAAATTTTTCAGAATTTTGACAGACTGTATTTAGATGAAAAATGGTCGTATCGGGAATTAAAACAAAGGATTTTGAAGCTCTGAGATTCTAGTTTTTAGATCTTTCAGTCGAAATTTTTTAGGAGCTACGGTTATCATGCAATTCTAAGAAATAGTGCGACAAAAATACCAATACTTAAGTCCACGAACTTGCAAAAATCGTTTCTTTGTTTTAAACAGTCACACTTGAAAAAAATTAAAGGGTCACGTTTTTTGAGCTTAAACACTTCATAATCATATGGGAAAAAATTTAGTTTTTGAGGTTTTCTCACATTTTACGGCAAATAACGTTTAAATTGATGTAAAAAAAAAATTCGAAAAATTTTCGAAAAAATTCAAAAAATTTATCTGGTTCATGCAATGGCTTAGCTGAAAAAAAAAAAATATCGCCTATTTCTATGATAACCGTAGCTCCTAAAAAATTTCAACCGAAAGATCTAAAAACTAGAATCTTAAAGCTTCAAAATACTTTTTTTTTAATTCCCGATATTGCCATTTTTCGCCTAAATACAGTCTGCCAAAAATCACGGAAAAATTTCGGAAATTCTTTTGACCCTTTAATTTTTTGCATTAGTTTATATGAACCAATTCTAAATGTGTTTATTTTTAGGTGGCAAAAAATATACGTGCGAAAAGTGCAAGAAAAGTTATTCCTATCCAGCAAATTTGTCCAAGCACGAGAAATATGAATGCAAGCGTACCAGATATTTCAAATGTCCCCTATGTCTGTATACAGCATTTGAAAAACAGTACCTTAACAGTCATATCTTTAAGGTACACAAAAGAACCGATTAATGACAGTTATGTATTTGTATAATCCACTTACTACCCTGAAATTTATCAATATCTTTGAAAATATCAATAGAACTTAGTTTGGTTCACAGAATTCGATTGCCACGTAATCGGTTTAGGTTTCTTGACGTTTCCAGAAGAAGAGGGGAATATATCTTTCGAAAAGTCAAGCAGTGTAGCTGTGGTAACTAAGCTGTTCAGACATCAACTCAATTTGTTGATAACATTCGAATTTCAGAATAATACGCATATGAACATTGCTTGTATTTTTTTTAATAGGTTAACAATGTCAAATTTGTAATATATATTTATACTTAAAACTTTACCTAATAAATATTTGTAGGATTTCTCACATTTTTCTTTAGTTTAATGATAGCGCAATATACAGTGTGTTTCATTTCAAAGGAATACAGAGCCATAACTCTGACGTCATAGCGTGATCGAAGCTTCACACTATGGTACCAGAAAGTACACAAAAATGTCCTTTAAACAACAATCAAAACGGTTTTTACCTACCTTGTGAAGGAAATTATGTCTAAGTATTTATTTCAAATGAAACACACTGTAGATGTAGTTGGTTAAAAAAGTATCATTACTAATTTGTAATGTGTCCATTATTTAACTATTTTTTTAACATAAGTGCTAATGTATTTCATTGTTTCACCATAAGCCAATTTTTTGTTAATTTTTTTTTATTTTTAGGTTTTGTTTTAAACATAGCTTCTAACCATTTTGTGCTCTAGATCTACAAGGGCGAAATTTGTATCTAGTATAGTTCCTGCCTTATTATCTAATTAAATAATTATTAAGGTTATGTTACAAAAATCTGTTATATTTTTAGAAAGTACTATTTGCAAGATATGTTCGAAAATATACAAAAATCGAAGCTCTTTAAGAAACCATGTTAGACGACAGCATATTCAGCAAGAACAACCAGGTAGGTTGTCGACACTGATTTTCCCAAATATTTTTAATGTTCGTTTATTTTCCCCACAGTAGTATGAACATAATTACTTACGTATGAAAACTAGTTTAATACCCTTTTATTATTTTTTTCATTTTTCAAGGTAAAAAAGTGACTACATGTTCAAAAATTACTTAAATCTTTCATAGACGGTAGAGATTGTTTCGTTTTTCACAAAATCTTGTTGCTGATGTTTAAAAAATACATATCTGCTATTTTACTCTATATATTTTTAGGTGAATATCCTTGTTACGTTTGTAACAACATTTACAAAACCAAGAACTCTTTAATGGTTCACATTTCAAGACAACACTCGAATGTGCAAAACTTCACTTGTGCCACTTGTGGGAAAATGTTCAGCAGAAAGGACAATCTTAGGTGTCATACCATGACTCATAGGAATTGTATCAAAGATGAAGTGCAGTTCTAGGAAGTAGTTTTTCTTTGTATCACACCAAAATTTAAATGTCACATAATATTAAAAATATATTATTTCAAACTCTCTACTTTTTTTTAATTTAAAAGCCTACGATGACTTTTTTTAACTTGTGTGGGAAAAATGAAATTGTTGATACAAGGACATATATTATTTGAAAATAAATGTTTCTTTTATTTCTTTACTTTTCTATTTCACTAAATGCATTGCAAACAAATTGACGCAGTATTTAATTTTTCAGTTGCTTTAATTCGATGTCCAAAGTGCCGAAAAGTATATAAAAACCCTAACTGCCTGAGCGCACATCTGGCACAAGATTGTGGTAAGAAGAAACTGTACTCGTGCATGCTCTGCCCATCAATTTTCAAAAGAAAAGAACACCTTAAGCAGCATGCTTCTAGAAAGCATTCTGGCAAGGGGTACATTAAATGAGCTTATTGTTAATGGAGATCAGTGCTGTGGGTTATATGTCACACACACCCAAACGCAACACACGCAAAATATGCAGGAATAGAAATATTTATTTTGTATAATCAGTTATTTAAGAATTATTGTTTTGTTTTACATTATTTTGTTTATATTTGTTGATTATTATAATATATAATATGTATAATAAAAAGTACAAAAAAATTTTGTGTTCCTTTATTACTATATGTATAACATATGTCAAGGTGTTTTTAAATTAAAATTACAGTTGATCTTATCAAAAACTAAATCGATATACCAGGAAATGTGCCTGTAGAATATTCATTAATTTTTTTATTATATTTATAGCACAGCGAGACTGATTTTTTCCCGGTTATATCAAAAGTTTATGCTAACTTCATTACTTTGAAAGGAAAGCATTTTGCAGTTCCACTCGCTTTATTCTTATCTCAATAATGAATGAATGGATTTTCGAGATATTCAGTTTTTTTTTTGAAACTTTTGAGATTTTTAAACTTAAAAGTTATAAGTGAAATATTTTGCTATTTTTGTTTTGGAAAAAGGTAATATGACCGAAATTGTTAACAAACACTCATGATTTTTAAAATTTATTGGCCAAACTTGATCTGTAAGAGCAGATGCTTTTCAAACTGCAAATCTATTTTTTGCAGCTGAAACTTTTAAAACCCCCCTAATTTCCACACCACTGGTTAGATTTTGATCAAAGCTTATATGCAGATTGCTGTAAAGAAACTAAATTGTACTAAATGTAGAGTCGAAACTTTAAAGAATTGTAATCAATTTAGCAACAATATTTTACTTTATTTTGGTGGAAAAAGTCAACCCTGAATGTTTGTCGCAATATCACTGTTATTCCAAATATCTCGAAAGCTATTCATTTTTCACAATGTTGATACCAACTATTAGTGTAATAGAAGAACTAAGATATATCTTAACCTACAATACACAGAAAAGTTGTAATTTTCTCCCCTATACAGGGTGATTCACAAATGGTGACCAAAAATGAAACCTCGTATTCTTTGGTGAATTTTAAGGGGAGTATTTCCTATAAAGTTTTTATCTTCGTTAAAAAGATAAAGTGTGTTAAACTTCAAAAAATATTTTTAATTTTTTTAAATAATTCAAAAACAAGTAAGTGAAATAATTTGAAATGGGGCACATGTATTTATGTAAACATTGTTCAAAACCTGAGGGCTTTTCCTAAAAAATTTACATGGTGCAGTGGCGGAGATACAGGGTATGTGTGGTATATTTTTCTAAATAAAATGGTACGCCACTGCTTTACGGTAACAACCATGATATTTTCGGATTCGTCTTTCAATTTTCTACAAATTACTACCCTCTTATGTTTTTCGAAAAAAGCCTGATTTTCGAGTAAAACTTAAAAAACGAACTGAGAACACACTTCGATATTCGAATATAATGCTTTTTAAAATTACGGGGGCTGCGATAGCAACTTTGACATTCTGAGCAGTTAGAAGAAAGAATAAATAATGTTTTTCATCAGATTCAAGCAACAATAAATTTCGAACAAATTACATTTTCGTTACTAAAAAGATGTCGCGCCTGTGTTCGTGGAAATGGAGATATTTTTGAGCATATACTCAAATAAAATCATTGAAATAATAAAGTGTTTTCAGTTGGTTTTTTAAGTTTTAATCGAAAATCAGGCGTTTTTCGAAAAACATAAGAGAGTAGTAATTTGTAGAAAATTGAAAGACGAATCCGAAATTATCATGGTTGTTACCGTAAAGCAGTGGCGTACTATTTTATTTAGAAAAATATGCCACCGATACCCTGTTTCTCCGCCACTGGAGTATGTAAATTTTAGGAAAAGCTATTTTGGACAATGTTTACACAAATACATGTGCCCAATTTCAAATAATTTCACTTACTTACTAGTTTTTAAATTATTTTAAAAAATTAAAAATAATTTTTAAAGTTTAACACCCTGAGCGTCCTAGATAAAAGCTTTATAGGAAAGACTCCCCTTAAAATCCACCAAACAATACGAGGTTTCATTTTTGGTCACCATTTGTGAATCACCCTGTATATGAGAGTAACGATCAATAATTGTATGCGTAAAATTTTCTAGTACGTTTCTCAATCATTTTTTCCTGTCTTTACTAATGACATTTCAGTAATGCGGAACATAACCTCACAAAGTAGATGCATCAAGTAATCTTAAATCATTAAATGGTGGTGTAGGTGAAATCTTGAAACCATAACTCCTATGTAAATAAAAACATTTTAACCTCAGTTTCAGTTGTAGGCCCTGTGCCGTGCCCACAGTGCGGAAAACTGTATAAAAATATGTGCACCATCAACTCTCACCTGCGTCAGGACTGCGGGAAAGAGCGGGCGTTCGTCTGCGCGTTCTGCCAAAAGGGCTTCAGGCGGAAGCAGCGTCTGAAGGAACACATCGCTTGTGTCCATCACAAAAATTTACACAAATTTGATGCCTCTGTCTGATACATTATATTTTTCTGGGTAATACTCTAATATTGTGTTGAAGGGTTCATATTTTAGTCGTAATATTATAAAACTTTAAAGCTTTAAAATAAATGATACTAAAAATTTATTGAAATTGGTAGTTTCATTTTAAACTTGAACTGTTTCCTTTCATCACAATAAGCAAAGACAAAGAACACTAACATCTTCTAAGGCGATACAGTTGAGAGGTACAGAGAAAAGGATTTTGTCCGTCAAGGAACTATATTTTACTAGAAAGAAACTAAAACCCAACGCAATGTAAGGAGAATCATCATTATGGTAGGAGAAACCCATTGATTTCTCTTGTGTTTCCAGCAAGGTTCAATTTCAATAAAGTGCAAATTTGTACAAACCAAATGTCTCCTGGTGGTGATGTTATGAAAAAAAGACACAGAAGATATGTGTAGCTTTCTTTGATGCACACCGATTCCACTGATAAGGTTTAGATTTTTGTTTTCAAATTCCATACGTAGATAACTACCTACTGTAACAAAAGTATAACTGTATGAAATTTAAAATTTTTGTTTTCATTGTTGAATCTCTGTCAAAAAATGTATTTCAAGTTGTATCTTTAAAGCGTTATGAATAGATTTGTAGGAAATATTATTGATTTATGTTCTATAGATTCGAACCTAAGCTAATTATTTTAGTAATCATTTAATATATAAAATAACTTGTTATCACACTTTGTACATATCATTCCAATAAATATATTGTTCTAATATTAAATACAACAATTATTTTCTGACTTGTTTCCTTTTAGGACCTGTTCCATGTCATAAATGTGGAAAAATTTATAAAAATAGATGCACAGTAATGGCCCATCAGCGTTTGGATTGCGGAAAGAAACGAACATTCGTTTGCACGTACTGCAACAAGAGTTTCACACGTAAACATAGCCTTAAGGGACACATGGGAATAACTTGTGCCCTTATTCCCCGGTAAGATTCTTCCCACCAATCTCATATTGGTGTCTCGCTTCAAGTTTTCAGGGCAGTTATGTTACCAAAAATAATTGTGAATATGTTGATGTGTTAAATAAAAATCATACTTTGTCAAACTTTTGCATTTTAAAATACTTCACTTTGCTTTCATCTGAATATAACCAGGTCGTATTCATGTTTATCGCTTTTATCGACCAGTAAATAAATTGTAGTGAAAGGTACACAAACAATTATTTCGATATTAATAAATTGTTATCTGATTGTGAATTCTGTTTTAGGTGAAGAGAAATTTAGCCCTCCTCGTTTCACCTGCGAGCAATGCGGAAAATCTTACAAGCACTTACCGTCGTTGTGCAATCACAAGAAATTCGATTGTGGGAAACCCCCTTCGTTTAAGTGCGCGTTCTGCTCTTGCACGTTTTCTCGAAAACAGTCTCTGCAGAGGCACCTCTTATGCTCCTGCAAAAAGGCGCAACAGTCGACAATGTCATCTGCTTTTGTAACATTTTAATATAGAGGAATAGACTATAGAGACGAAGATCTTTTCAAAGATCAAATAATTAATATTTGTTATTGGAAAAGACCAAATGAAATCTTTGCCTCTCAACAAAGGAATAGAGAAAATTATTAAAAAATAATAGAATTTAAAAAATCAGTGACATCAATACAGTTAGTTCGCTATGATTTATCATAACGTATACAGGGTCGGAAAGTCCCCATGGTTCATCGGCAGTTACGTGAGAGCGATAAAGTAAGTCATAGAAATCCGTGCGATGATAGAGAAGGATGGCTATAATGAAGACGTCTCATAGTCACCGAACGTTTCGCCCTTCCACAAATAAGATCCACTTCCACTTGTAATTCAGCGACCGGTGGTCATCTTTGTTTTCGTCGTTTGGCTTTTCTTTAATAGATGTCACTACTTATACAATTTCGACTTCGGTATTCCGATATGTTAATACAATCCGTTAACAGAGGGCAGCACAACGCGTAACAAAGAAAACTTTTTACAGTAGCTAGTAGATACCTCTGTTTGTAATTCTAGTGACCTTGTTTGCCCTACTGAGAAGTTATTCAAATGGAGTATAGTGCTCAGCTGCATTTAGAGTTCATTTAGTTGTTATTTAAGTATACTAAGTATATAAATCCCAAGAAATAAAGCAAAATTCCCTAATTCCCCAATTCCAAAAAAATCGGTAGATCTGGCATCACTCACCTTATTGTGCTGCCCTCTGTTAACGGATTGCATTAACAAATCGGAATACGAAGTGGGAATTGTATAAGTAGCGACATCTATTACAGAAAAGGCAAACGCCGAAAACGAAGATTACAACCGGTCGCTGAATTACAAGAGGAAGTGGATCTTATTTGTGGAAGGGCGGAACGGGCGGTGACTATGAGACGCCTTCATTATAGCCATCCTTCTCTATCGCACGGATTTCTATGACTTACTTTATCGCTCTCACGTAACGGCCGATGAACCATGGGAACTTTCCGACCCTGTATAACTGGAATTAATTTACCTATTAATACTACGCAAATAGTTAATATTATTTATTTATTTTCTTTTGCACCACATTTACTGAGAAATAGATATTGAATAACTCAACAGTATAAGTAGCTTTTATAGAATGTTCGTTTTGTTGATCTGTTAAATTGTGGTGGACTGTTTTATTTTTGTCTTTGTATTTATTGTGAATTAAATAAAGTGTGGAGAGCTATAAACATGTTTTATCTAATATATTTGACGTAATCAAAATATATACAGGGTGCCCACTAAAATCGGCGAGGTATGATATTAGAGAAATATATAGGCCTTAGAGCTTCAGGCAAAAATTTTGTTTGAATAACTCAACCAAGCGAAATCCTTGGAAATAGTTTTCAATTTCGTAGCTCGGCCGCTAGAGGGCGCAATTTTTTTCAGAAATGTTTCCTATTCAGGCATATTAATTTGTATAAATATGGCTAGCCTATCTAGCTGTCTCTCGAGCGAAAGGGTGGGGGAAGCCCCTAATTTCTGATCAGAAAAAGCATTTCTTTGAGGATTGGCTCATCAAAAACCCATAATGTTGTATATCGTTGGAAAGGTCTTTTCATGCTTTATCTCGTGGTAAATGGATAATGTCATTTACCTCAATATGGAAACCTATAGATGGCGTTATTTCAGAAAAATGCCGTTTTATGGATTTTTCTCAAAAATTTTAAAAGCAATGCTATAGTTTTCTTTACATAAATTAATTCAGCATAAAAAATTGATGAATATAATATAAGTTTATATTAACGTAGCCACTATGTGAAAGATTCATAAAGAGATTTGTGAATTAATGAAACTCTTAAGATATCGGATGTTAATATTTTTTTATAAAATATTTAATATAATTTCATCTTTCCAAAACCTCATAGCTGGCTGCTTAGTGGTACAATTTCTGCGGCACTTGGTTCTACAAATACATTTAAGGCACCCTGTATATATAGAATATAATGAGCAAAATCATACAACGCAGTAAAACTGGACAGGGATATCCCCTACTAAACCTGAACACTCTGTAGAATGAACTATTGCTTTAGCACTGCTTGAATTCTTACCATTTTGTACGAAATATATTTTTTCATTAGTAACGGTTTGTAATTTTAGGGTATCTGATAAAAACGTACCCCTGCAAGAATTGTACCAAGGTGTACAAGTATTACACAGGTCTGTATGCCCATCGAAAATATGAATGTGGTAAAGAGAAGTCATTTATTTGTGTTGCCTGCAACAGAGGTTTTTGGCACAAACAAGCTTTACAAAAACATGAGAAGACTATTAATTGCAAGAAGAATAGAATGGAGATTTAATCAAATACACTTTACACATGTATATATTTATTAAATAATACGTAATTTACCACTGTTCTAACAAACTATAGACTGATTTTTTGGCATTTAATAAAATGAATACTAACATTTGCGAAATGTCTTTTACCTCAGTGATCCAGTTTCTTATTTGGATAAAAAGATATGATGAAGACTTTTCACTCTTTTTTATTTAGACGCTCGTCATCAGCGACGGCGGTGTATTAAAAATATAGGTGAGGATCGAATTCGTTTTGATATGTCTTTGATATACCTAGTGAGCATAATAAACAGCAAGCATACTGTTCGTATTGGATGTTTTTTAACGTGTATAGCGAACATAGCTAGCTTATAATTCTGTGTGGCGTTAGCCTAATACAATAATTTCTAGGTGCGTCTATCTACTCCTGTTCAAAATGTGACAAGGCGTACAAACATCATACTTCTTTGAGCAAACATCAAAAATTTGAATGTGGAAAGACCAAGTCGTTCGCCTGTCGTTTTTGTAGCAGGACTTTTTGGCATAAACAGTCCATGCAGAAGCACGAGAGAAATATGTCCTGTCCCAAACCAAGAGATCGTAGTTCTTAGAACAGCAGGAATTTATTGCTTTGTACAAGTTTTCTTCTTTCATAATTCCTTTTAAGACTAAAGCAAGCAATGTTGAATGTATAATAACAGTCATTTTTAATAAAGTAGTTTTAGTTTAATTTTAAAACTGAGTTGTTGTAAGATAATAAACGCTTTTAATAAAAAAATATATATTTTAGACATATAGCAATAAAGTTGCATTCAAGGTAAGTGCAAACTATCCCACAGTTTCTTGTATGTATAGAAAAAAATTCCGTACTCTGAGCAAAATATTAAAATAAGTAAATTTTATCGTAGACAATGTGGAAAAGTACATACAATATCTGGAAGATGGAAAATACCAGTGTCTAAAATGCTCTCGACTATACAAACATAAATTTACCTTGACAAGACATTTGGTTTATGAATGCATGAAAAACCGACCATTTGCATGTCATTTGTGTGCCTATAAATGCACAAGGAAGCATCGACTGGAGGAACATTTGCGCTCCAGGATTCACAGTTCTATCGTTCTTGGAAAAATAAGAAAATAGTGTCATCCTTTTGTTAAAAGTTTTCTAGTCGTCGTCATTTTAAAAACAATAAATATTCTATAATATATTTGCATTTTAATACATGATATAGACCTTTGTGTAGAACTGCATGTATTCTTACAATCCCAGCAAACCTAAAATATTGTTTTAATTCGAAGATCGTTTGCTATAATTTCTATGTAAATAAACTTTTTAACTAATCCTGGTCAATTTTAAGGTTTGCGACAGTTGAACTCGAATTTCTATAAATGTGATAGGTGCAGTAAGACATACAAGCTCTTAAACAGTCTACGCAGACATCAGAGGGTCGAATGTGGCAAGACAAAGGATGTACTGTGCAAGTTATGCCATCATCGGTTTTACTACAAGCAAGAAATGCAGGTGCACATGTACAACAAACACAAGGAATATTTTAAAAAAACTGAATGAATACCTAATTTGTATAACGTTAAGTTCTCATTGTTCTAATTTTCAACATTGCTAAACTGCAGGGAAAATGATAGTAGATCTTCTTTCTGGTAGATCCATGCGAATAGATCAAGGCTGTTGTATTATATTAATAACATTTCTTGATTAATCTTATATGATATATATTTACTAACATTTTTTAAATATCGAGGAGGATACAGATATTTAATTAACCACTTTTTACTGTTTTACAGAATCTTACAATAATAGACAAAAAAAAATGCAGTTGAAGATTTGTAAAATAGTTTGTTTTAATATACACATACACATCTCATTATGACACCAAGTAATTTCTTAAGATCTGCTATTTACATATATATGTAAAACTTTTTTTATAATTTCATATAACTGAGATGATTTCATTGTATTTCATTGAAAATGTTGGTGGCACTAACATTATTGATGTGTTTTTAGAATAAATAAAAATACAGTGTTTGTTTTTTAAACATTTTTTTTGTCTGTAAATAATTATTTCTCGAAATTGTCATATTATAGATTATGTTCAAATATATATTTAGTGTGTTTTTATGTGTTGTATTCTTTTTTGTGATATCCTGATGAAGGATGCTTATTAAAATTAGGTACATCAAATCACTTTTTAAACTTATTTTATATGCAGACAAAGCGTTTCTAGAATATGACGCCAAACTGACACTAGGAGTTTCCTAGGATTCTCAAAATGTTTTTCAAAATAGTTACAATATGATAAAGGTATACTTTTCTTAAATGTACTCCAAGTCATATAAATACAAGTCGATGTTTGTCTTTAGATTATCAAGAAGTGTTTCTTTCTTCTTTCTTCTCAAAAAAGATGCCATTAGGGTTATCGATGAAGTGATTTACATTGTATTTTATTTTAATTTTTTGAAAGACCATCCTAAATAAAATTACTGGATATTCGCAGGAAATGTCACGGACAATTTTTATGGACAAAAGAAACCTTATCCTTTTTGGTTGTTTTTGTTATTTAGGTACGTTTCAAGACACAACACATATTTGTTGCATTCTTAAAGACCGCTGTACTAATTAAACGTTCTTTTAGATATTAAACCAAGGTTCTATTGCACTGCTTGTGGAAAGTCCTACACTATAAAGAACAATCTCAGAAGACACCAAAGAGTAGAATGTGGCAAAGCCAAGTCACAAGTTTGTTACCTTTGCGACAATAAATACTATTATAAACAAGAACTGGATATGCATTTGCGACTAAAACACAACATACATTTTGGTTCTTATAGACGAAGTTGGTAACACCAAAGATACTACAGCAAATTAGAACTGGTATCCTATCTACTATTTCCATAAACGTAAAATTTTTGTATTGACTTTAGGATGTAGTTTTCTAGTATCTTTTGTCTCTTCTAGTCAAATTTTCTTTTGATAATATCAGAATATCAGGAGGGAGTATCAAAATAAATATAACTAGTAGTTTGTAAATAAATATATATCTTATGATATAGCTAGGTTCTGAAAGAATCGAGTTTTATTAATAAATATACCTACCTATTGAAACCTAAAGTATTTTTTACATTTTTCGTTATCGTTTTACATTTTAAATTAAGAAAGGCCCTATGACTGAACGTTGAGGAATACCATAAATAATTTAATATTAACTAAACATTTTACAAAATAAAAGTGAGTTATATGTATTTATGATAATTAATGTTATTTAAAAAAGTTTTGAGTTATATCACAACTTTCGAGTGTTATATGAGATTGATAAATAAGAGTTTTTAACTGAATCCTTCATATTCATCCTTTCCGTCAAAAACAAATCCAAAAATCATAAACGTTAATTGCCTATCTGCATTTACAACCATTCTTCATATACCTACGTAATTTTGTAACAGAAAACCCTTTTTTTAAAGCTTATGTTTTTTAGGTAGATACATTTGTCCTAACGGATGTGGAAGACTCTACAAACACAAATCGTCCCTTTATAACCACACTAGATTCGAGTGTGGAAAGGATAAGGCCTTTGTGTGTCACATGGATAATTGTACATTTAAAACCAAACGGAAAGGTAGCCTCAAATCGCATTTAGTAATAGTCCATGGGGTGAAGTATCAAGGCAGCAGAAGGAACAGATTTCTCATCTTTACAAGCGAGTAAATTTGCCTCAAGGCAAAGTTTTATATCTTCGTCTTCGTAAATAAAGAAAAAAGTGAAAATCTACGTTATAAGATTCCAATTTTATTTAAATCCTAGGAATATGAATGGGTTGATTGTTACATTTTATAGTTATTATTGTTTAAGGGCTTCAAGTATCCCAAACTTTATTACTTATAAAAGACCCTATGTATTTGGTAACTTCATTCAGTACATTCACATCAGATAGATTGGATCTAAACAAAAAATGGTATAAAAAGGGATTCTAAAATAGGCAACTAAACAGAAAACGTAAATTTAAGAGTAATAATTGCTGAATACGCCCGCTGGCGTTCGGCTACTGGTTTTTGTAGAATATTTTTTATTATTTTTTTTATTAGTAGTAGTTAGGCACGCATAGCATTTTGTTGAACATTTTGCTACATTGGAATAATTAGCAATTTTGTGAGTGAATCCTGGGTAGAAGTTTGTCGAGTGCATTCCCTTTTTCCCTTTCCTATTGCCCTCGACAGGAAGAAAGGTTAATTGCGTCACATTTTAGCGAATTCATTTAGTTTATTTTTATTTCTTTTATTTTAATATACAGGGTGTCCGGAAAGGTAATGAAGGGGTGCACCTAGAGGGGAGTTCAAAATAGTTGTAGTACTTCATAAAAACTTTTTTCCTATCGGGCTTCGTTGTGGAGTTATTCGCCTTCAAAGAAAGAAGTTTGAAAACAAATTCAGTTATAACTTCTAAGTCATTACCATGACACCAATGAAATTTGGGCAGTTAAAGTAACTCATGATAATGTTCATTTACAAGTTTAAACTAATATTCAATATGCCTGGAATATACAGGAGGAGAACATCGAATTTTATTAACAACATACATGTATTGTATCAGAAATGCGATATTAACATTTTTGCAAAAATCTTGGAATTTGAGATGACTGTCAACAATTATGTATAATTAGCAGTTAGATAATTGTCTAAATCATTTTGACACCATTTGTCGATTCAATATCATGGAGGATTTTAGCTATGAAGAATTTGCATATATTCACCTAATGTACGAACTTGCACAATGTAATGCTTCTGAAGCTGTTCGGATTTACGCCAACCGCTTCCCAAATAGAATAGAATGTGCATATTCATATTTGAAGTGACGAAAACCCCCTTGCTATTATTCAGACAAAACACTAATAAAAAATTATCATTAATACATGGATGGGAATACCTAATTGGAAACTAGTTAGTGGGACCACATATCATTGATGACTGCAAGAACACCTTAATCCGTAATTAGAAGACGTCCCTTTAAATATTTGAAATAACATGTGGCTTACGCCCGATGGTACACCACTTCATTTAGCAGGGCAGTAAAGGCTTATTTAAATACCACATTTCCCGGTCGAGGTAGTCCTTTTTCGTGGCTGCCTCGGTGTCCCGATCTTAATTCTCTCAATTTTTGTCTTTGGGGCCATCTTAAAAGTCTTGTTCATGAAACTCCTGTAAATAGTAGGGAAGAATTATTAAATCGCATAATTACATACGCCGACATCATTAGAAATGATCACCACATGTTATCACGTTTTTGATACAATAAATGTACGTTGTTAAAAAAATTCTATTTTCTCAAAAACGGTACAAGATATCGACTGATGTACGGTATACCTTTTTTTTAACAAAGTGAGAGAGGAATCGAACTATGACAGAAAAATGTCAAATTTGGCAACACTGTCAAAGATGTATAAATTTAAATGGATCATTTTGTCTGACATTACCATGAGTTACTTTAATTGCCCAAATTGACTTTTTTTGTAATAACTTCAAAATTTGTTACAATATTCAAATGAAATTCGGCATAGGTTCCTTAGTAAATCTATAATAATTTCGTGAAAGAATATATTTTTTTGACACTGCCGTTAAGTTGCAGAGAGCAATCGATTTTTTTTCATATAAAAATAATTGCTCTATATTTTTGGAAAAATAATGCATTTTTCTGAGAAATCCTTTGATATACACAAGAAATATCTTTTTACTGCGTTTTTTAAATACAATGCATCACTTTGAACAATTTTTTTTATAAATATAGTATTAACATTTATATACATGATTTCAAATATTGAATATTTCAACCAAAAATTTCTACCCGATTATTTAAGACATACAACAAATATCTTCGTTAATAAAGAATTGGTGATTATTTTTATTTTTTCTCGAATCGGTTAAGATTGGGATCCACTTCTGTATATTTTGATCCATACTATCACAGATTGAAATAAAGGCAATTAATGAACTTATAAATTGTGTCCGTCGTGCGAATTTATTTTGTATATACTTACATAATGATGGTTCAGTTTGCCACTTCCTTAGCAGAGCTATGTATTCAATGTGCTTGAGTATGTACAATCTGAATTTTTTTAAATTTAACATTACATTGTTATTGTTCTTACGTTTGGAAAAACAAATCCATGACAAAATCATTTACTTTTTATATTATAATATTTCCATGTATCCTTTTTATATAATATTATTCATATTTTGTCTATTTTTTTTATTCAGATGAATATCATTTCTGTCTATTTGTTATTGTAGATATTATTTAGTTACGTGGTGTGTAATTCAACGAAAACTTGGCTGTATTGTGACTACGAGGATAAGTTAAAAAAATGTCGAATATATTTACTTCGATTTTGAGGAAATAATTATTAAAATTGAGGTTAGGTCAACAATAAATGTCTTTAAAAACGTGTTTTATTTGATCAACAGTTGGATAATAATAATTAATAAACTAAACTTCTACAATTTTATTTTTGTGATTCTGTTCTGCATATCCTATTTTTGAAAATTCTGGTAAGATCAGAAATGCGGACCTTTTTAAACCAATGCATTCTGGATGTTAAATCAATGTAACAAACATGAAAAGACCTTTCCAATGAGGTATAACACTATGGCTTTTCATGAGCCAATCCTTATGGTGCTAGCTTTCTCATGATTGTCATGTTCTATTGTGTATGGGGACTTTTAACAATTAACTGTGTACACAGTAGGAGACATGTTTTCGTTGGAAAACACTATATGTTTAGAACAACGCATGTTCAGACACATGGTGTCACATTCGATTTTATGTCTATCTTAAATAATACTGCTGTTAAAAATAAAGTACGTACTGACTAACTCATGTTTAATTTTTTTTTCATTAATTTTTTCATACTACCATTATAATATAGTGAAAAATATATTTTTTTTAAGTCTAACTCAAAACCTTAACAAATGTAACGAATCATTTTGCGCATAGGAAACATTATCAAAAAACTATTTTGTGGACTAAAGACTGTTTTAGTATGTAATGTGTCACTTATAGCTCTTCATGGATTAAATCTACCTTAAAATTAAATTAATGTATTAATAGTACCCTTCGAACGTTGACTAAAGTGACTTTTAATACCGGTATGTACATTGTACAGCTATTATAGTGAATTAGAAAGAACTATAAACCTTCCTATTATATAAAGACATGTACAACAGACTACTTACTTTTTTATATTTACGTATATTATGTATTTGAATGCATGAATGTGTAAATAATTATATAATAATAATTAATTTAATTTTTAAATAATAAACACAGTTAACAATGTTAAAATACTTTCAGTTATCTTAACATTTTACTACTTGCTGAATAAATAAATAAATAAATAAATAAATAAATATCGTCTTTATATCTAATGCAAATGATTTTGTATAATAGACTAATAAACAAATTTTAACATATCTGCACATAGACCATCGCACGTAGAAAGTAGCACCTGTATTTACTAGTAACACAAAATCACCGAAATAATATAGGTATGCCCGTCTATATATCTCATCTGTCTAACCCTGATGTTAATAGATTTCAGGTCTGCAAAATTTACCATGGATCCAGTAAGTAGGAGGCTGCTTTGTCCTAGCTGTCCGTTGTCCTTCGCGTTGAAAGGACATTTAGTACGACATATCAGATATGAGTGTGGGGAAAACTCGAAGTTTCAATGTAGCACGTGCTTTAGAAAATTTAAGCACGAGAGTGTATTGAAAGATCATTGTTATTTTGTTCATAAAGAATTTATAATAGATAACTAGGTGGTTCATGTTGGATATTCTTTGATTTTTAGGGAAAATGTTATGCTTATCACATTAGAGAGTTTTAAAAGAACATTGCATAAACATGTGTTGATTTCCTAATAGTTTTTATTTTTTATGTTAGAATTTAAAGTTACAACTGAATTACGTATATTTTATAGATGAGTTTGCACGAGGTACTGTTTTTTACTTACTAGATATATATTGTTGATATATAATTATAAATTACAGATAATAAAATTAGTGAATGATTGATGACAATATGAGGGACATATTTTTGGCACTTTTTTTTTCTACAATTGACATTTTTTTTTCAACATTACATTCTATCCTTTTGTCGTGATGATTATTGGAATTATTAAAATATTTTGATGATTTTTAATAATAAGTAAATAAATACATGTCTCATTTCTTCTACATAATATAATGTTATTCTTATTTGTATTGAATATATTCAGGGTGTTTGAAACTGGCCAAACTGAAAATTTGAATTGTTGTAACCATAATAAGAAAATAAGTGAAAGGGAAGAAATGGTACATTTTGTTTATTAAAATGTAGGAAATCTTATATTTTAATCATATCAGTAGAGCTTACAAAGAGTGGTTGGATTTTTTAAATACGACGTCGAATTCGTGAGGTACTTACTGATAATGACTTACGATATTTCTAGACTACAAGCCTATCGGAAATTTCCAAGGAGTCATTTGACGGCATTAGGTCGAGGTTAATTTTTTTTTGTGTAACCTACATACTGTAGAAATGCCGTATAAAAATGTGTTGCCGAAAACCACCAGGTTTAGCTTACCTGTGTACTCACCTGTACCAACAAGAATTGACGGCATAGTTTCTAAAGTTAGGTATATGTGGTAGTATTGATTTATAAGTAATTCATGCTGGGTCATATGACCCCTTGAAAATTCCGATGGGCTTGTAGTCTATTCCACCGTTGCAACATTTAATTTTCCAAAAACGAAGCTTACGCGTACATTACTTTATAGAACCTATTTTTATTTTGACCACCTAATATCCAATGTTGATATTGGTCAATTAACTACACTGTATAATTAACTAGTTTTAATAAAGTAGTACTTAACATCTAGATTACATTAGTACAAATTCGTATATATCACTTGTACTTTTATCTAATTTTGTATTAACAGATTTCAGGCACACAAAATTCGCCGTGGAACCTTTGACTGGCAGGCACCTCTGTCCAAATTGTCCATTATCTTACAAGCTAAGGAGGCACTTGGTAAGACATATAAAATATGAGTGCGGGGTAAACCCGCAGTTCCAGTGCAATATATGCTTTAGAAAATTTAAGCATAAACTTATCCTGAAGGACCACTATTACTTTATTCACAAGGAAAACTTAGATTTGGAACTGGCATGATTTTATCTTTTCTCAAACAGAAAGTGTTGCTTCTGTCGAGTCGATATGTGTTACTTTTGACATTTATTTCTAGGACACTATGTATATGGATTTGTACTTTTTATAATTTAATTTTTCTATCATTAGTTAGAAAATATTTTTGTCGTATTTTATTTAAAGCATCCTACATCAGTATATGTAATTATTGCAGATTTTTTTTGCTTTTAGACATTGTAGACAGTGTTACTATTATTATTTTTCTTTTTATGGATATCAGGTAGGTATTAGATGGTATGATTTTTAGTTCGTAGGCGATTAACGTTTTTAATAAAAATGTTGGTAGTTACTTAAATAAAGGACTATATATTATATTATTATTAGTTGTATAACTCTGTTATAAAAATATTTTTTGTTGCATTTATTTACTACTCCTGTTTTAATATGTTCCATGAAAAAGTCTGTTCACAGGGGGCGTAGCTCAGATGGTAGAGCGCTCGCTTAGCATGCGAGAGGTACCGGGATCGATACCCGGCGCCTCCAACTTTTTTTTAACACAATCATTGAAGTAGATTGCAATATAAAATTTAATATAATTTTAACTTTTCTATTTATTTATACATATGGTACATATTTTTTATAACCATTTATTAGTTTTTGAAAAAGTGTCTTCATATTATGACCAGCTCCAATAAGAAATAGAAACTAAAGTGATTATACTAATACAAAACATTAGCACTAATCACTTAGCGAGATTTGTTACTATATTTCTGATTTATTTTTGTAAGTTAATATTATTAATTTGTCTAATTTCTATTACTTATCGCCAATTAATTATAATTATCCAACAGAAATCAGTTACAGGGTGGAAGAAAAAATGGATTTTGTTCAATTTTATTGAATTAAAAATAAAAGCTATGCACGAACCCAGGTGAATTAAGGGATTTGCATACCCTTCAATTCTGCAACTTATATACTTGTGCGAAGCCTTGTGTTTTTAATTTCTATTTCAAATAATAAGTGGCAGTCACAATTTAAACTAGTATTTTTGAAATCTATTGTGTTTTGTTTGTGATTGACATATCGACATCAAGAGATTTATCAGAAAAATTCTGTTATCTAGAAGAGAACTATTATGTGGTTTATCTGTATAAGTATGCATGTGTTTTATCAACCGAATGTTAAGACAATACCTTCGTGTTAATCGTTATGTTTTCAGTTAAAAGGTGTGTTGATTTGTGCTGTGTTAATCGTTATGTTTAGTAGTGAAAGGTTCTTTTGTGCTGTGTGCATTGGTTTTTTTGAATAGGTGGACATATTTTTAGTGTCAACGAAAATTTTAAATGTTGATAAAATTATTTTGGATGACAATATTTTCGGCTTCCCAAAAACTTTCATAACCGTTCATTTTTGTGACCAGATGATGGCTTGAATCCATACTTAATATCAGGATTTTTAGACACAACTTTTACAATAATAACAAGAATAAATTTAATGAGAACTATGTTTTCGGCCATTGTTACTATAACAAAAATGGCCACAGGGAACTTTTCTTCTTAATAATCGACATTTACACTATGTCGTACTAGAATATAAATAATAATAAAACTAATTATTATTATTAACCATTTCAGTATGCTACATTGTACGTAATACTACATTATTACCGCACTTATGTGATTATACTCCTTCATATGAGCGCAATAATATTATCTATATCCTATTTTTTGCATAAAATATCTGCTGCATTGAGATTTAGCTGTCCAATAAAAATAAAACAAAACTCCTAGTACTAAACATATTGCCCGTTACTTATCTGATTTTAATATTTGCTGAACGTATGATTATTATTAATCAGAGAGACCCTTTTACCCAACTGTCAGATTTCTACAGGGTGTTCCTTGGCCCAAATTAGTATGAAAATGAAAAGATTAACTCAACTAGTAGTCAATTTGAATTCCTTACGAAGATGTGATAGAGAAAATAACCTGGTGGCAATGTTTTATTTCATTATTTTTTAAACCAATTGAAACGTTAGTACTAAATTTGGTACCTACGCGTTTCTGGTTATCGATAACTCATCCTCAAGGTTACAAAAAATAATCTTTGTGAGGTCATTCTCATCCTGATAAAAAACTGCTATTTTTTTGTATTTGAAATTGGTTTTGCAATACCTGTGTATATATTTTGTTCCAACTTAGTTATTGTAACCTGTTTTAGCAGCTCAAAATGTACACAAATGTCCAAGCTGTTACAAGTCGTACAAGTACAAATGGAACTTAAGACGACACATCATCTACGAATGTGGAGTGGCTCCCAAATTTACATGCGGTGTATGCTTTAAGAGTTTCACTCGAAAAAGAAGTCTCCAACTACATCTGGCACAAACAACCTGTGGACGAACAGGGGCAGGGGTGACTTAAAAATTTGCATACAAGTGCATTATTAATATACAGGGTGTCCCAGTGTCAGCGTACACAAATTTACCAGGGGGTAGACCAGACCAAAATAAGGTGAAAATTCTTATAAAATATTTTTCTGCGATGCACTCTCACTGAGTTACAGGGTGTTGTTCAGAAAAAAATAATTTAAGTATTTTTTGGGTGAAGTGTACATCTATCAAAGGTCATTAAAACTACATCTAACTCAGTGAGAGTACAACACAGAAAAATATTTTTTAAGAATTTTAACCTTATTTTGGTCTAATCTACCCCCTGGTAAATTTTTGTACGCTGACACTGGGACATCCTGTATACTGCATGTTACTAATATCAGAGATTTTAAATGTGTCCACTAATATATTGTGTATTTTTTTTCGCTTTTAAAACAATTAGTACATGTCAATATATTACTTGTATGGTTACAGTGTTTTATTTACTACACTATTCTGCAATATTTTAAGTCAGGCCGAATACCGCTGGCATTTAAACTAAAGAGGTGGGGAGGGGGGTATATTTAAAGAGTATCCTGTATATTACTTTATTTTATTGTTGTCACTAAGTTTTATCACTAGGATACCTAAATAAAAATGTTTTAGATATACTGCACGAAATCAGAGAAATAGTTGCAAGAACGGAATGCAAACTTTTCACACCAAATGATACACGACCAGACTCACAGAATATATCAAAGTTAATACCATTGAAAACTGAAGAAGACGCCTTGTTACTGGAGGAAATATTAAGGAACGAGGAACAGCAACGAATATTGGTAAAGCTTACTTAATATTTTAAAATTTTGAGGTAAACTTTTCTTTCGAAATTTTAAAATTGTGGAACAAAATACACTTTATCTAGTTTAGAAATGTCACGAAAAGAAAATTGTTAATTATAATTTAAAATTCTTATTTTGTATTTCAAATTATTTGTATAAATTATATAACCTTTATTTGCAGCAACTGATACTAAATGACTTACAATTAGAACGAAAAGATAGCAAGGATTTTTTGACGAGTATGCTATCCAAAATATATACGAATAGGTTCGCCGTTAAATGTTCTTGGCATGGAGCTGGTAAACATTTTAAAGTTGGAAATACCAAGACCATCGGAATAATCAAAGGTAATATAAGACTGTCATTTCTTTTATTGAATTATCCAAGTCGATTTAAAGAGAAGTTGCAGCAACGATTCAGTAAAATGACTTTATTTTTCAGACGTTCTGATCCATGCTTATACAAAAACGACCCTGAAAGAGTTTGAAAATTTAGCTAGTTTCTGGTTTGGGTATGGAAAAACAAGATATTTGCTAGAGAGAAAAAATAGAAAGTGAGAGTCCTGTTTGAGTGTCACACAGCAGATTTGGTGGTTTTAATGGATTCTAAACTAATCATACTTATGTTAAACAATTATTACTATTATTAGTGTCTACCTTAGAGTTTTATTTTACTTTATTATTATTTTAAGTGTTTTATTATTATTAATTTTTGTAATATTCACCAATATGTTTGTAGTATTCTAAAAATAAAGGCGAATAAAACAGATCTGCATTGAAAATATTTATCTAGATGCTCGTGACTAATACAAAGAATGTGAATTATATCTCCCTATGCGCGTGTTTTGATATCGCTGAGATATAACTTCTTTCAGGTTATCCAACCAATAAAGATATAATGGATATACTAATCGAAATTAAAGAAACAGTGGCAAGAACCGAATATAAACTTCTCACAATAAATAACCCACAAGACAACAGCGATATATGTTTCAAAAATAATAAAGTTTCCCTATCAAATTCGAAGAGTTTAACAACGTTATTACCAGTGAAGACTGTAGAAGATGTCCTGAAACTGGAAGAAACATTGAAAAATGAGGAACAGCAACGAAAATTGGTAAGCGATGAATATCTGACACTTACTGACCTTAAACTTAAATACTTTTTTCGTATTTTAAAGTAATTATGTAAGTTTCAACGACTTTATCGATACTTTCAGAAAGCAATGCTAAATGAATTGGAAGGAAAAGATTGCAGGAACTTATTGGCGCGTATGCTATCCGAAATATTTACAAATAAGATAGCCGTTAAATGTTCGTGGCATGGATACGGGGAACATTTTAAAGTGGGAAATACCAAAACCATCGAAATTATAAAAGGTAATAAAATAGTAATCGTTTTAAGCCTATAATAATGATATGAGAAAATAACAACAGACTGTATTATTTGCATACTGCAGTATTGAAAATTGAGCAGTAACATTTTCATTATTTACGAATTTATTTTAGTTCTTTTTATCACAGCTACGGTAAGAACGTACATTTTGTGTGAAGTAAATGCTAAATGGGATTTAATTTGCAACGTTTATACCTGTGATGCTGTGATATATATTTATTATCAGACAAATCGGTTTAAAATTTCAGAATTGTAGATTTCAATCTAAGCAATTTGTGAAGCATCTTTATTTTTCAGACGTTTTACTCGAAACATATCCACAAACAACCAATAAGGAATTTGAATATATCGGCGGTTGCTGGTTTAGGCACGGAAAAGAAAGATATTTGAAGGAAAGAAAAAAACCTAATTGAAGATTCGTACTCATATGTAACTCATACTTGTTATATTAATATTTATATCCAAATTTGTCGTTTGTTAACAATATTTTGTAATAAATCATATGCATTCTTATACATTGGCTTTATTTGTAATGGATTGTAAAATTTTTCTCTAGATTATTTGTGACAAGAAAATTTATACAATTCCCATCCACCAAATATCTGACGCATTGGAAATAAACGTTTTTATCAGCATGAATAAAGTAAAGCGCCTTATCACTGGTATACAAATGTGTTTATTTTATTTTCATCACCTACTCGCGGAATCATGAAACAACTGTCAAACCGCCAATAACACTACAGATACCTCAGCTGCACTCTCTACCTTTTATTTTCTATTAAAATGCATATATTAACTTGCCACCGCTCCGTACATATACCAACCCTTCAACCCCTACCCTATGTGGCTTGAGAACTTAATATTCACGCTAAGTTTACATAAATATGACAATTTTATAAAAATAACAAAATTTTAGAGATTCACTGTCCCCCTGCGCCCAGCGGTCCCACCGAACATTTGTAATACTTTTAAAGTTTATATACATATACCTACATATAGTTATGTTCTTAATATCTAGAGTTACACTACCTTCTTCTTCTTCTTCTGCTTCTAGTGGTTGGTCCTAATAAGTCCCATAGCACTGCGGCCTGATTAGGCCTATTGTGCGTCCCACTACTAGTCCTATTCAGCAAGCAAGTAGATTTGTCCTTTTTACAAAGTCCAAAAGCTTCCTTGCTGGCACTTCTCTCAGTTCCTTGGGTTCCAAGTAGGGTCACCCAAGGAGCGCCATTCTGCTACGTGCAAATCCCGGGCACTCGCCCAGGATATGCACAGAAATTTCATCCGCCGATTCACTTACTCGGCAGACTGGACTGTCTACAAGCTTTAGCTTATGTAGATGTTTCCTAAAGTGACAGTGTCCCGTTATGAGTCCTGTCACTCTCCTGAGCTGGATTCTGTAAACTCAGTAAATCATTCGCTCTTTCCTTCGAAGGATGAGCTCCTTGGAATGACTATGTCTTGGCCTTGAAGTCCAGTATTTCCTATGTTCTGTCTCAGTCCATGTGCCCAGAGCCCGCCTGACCACACTGGAAGATGTGCCACAGAAGGGCTCCGGGCCAATGAACTCTGTTTCGGATCCCTTCCTAGCAAATTCATCCGCTTTCGCATTTCCACAAATGCCTTTATGCCCTGGCACCCAACACAGTCTGACTGTATTGTTGGTGGCCAGTTCAATAAGCATTTGTAAACAATCCCACACCAGTTTGAAACTTATCTTGTGTGCGCCCAAAGCTTTAATTGCAGCTCGACTATCAGAGAATATATATATGAGTTTACGTTTATAACCTCTACGTACATTCTCTGCCAGACACGCCATTATCGCGAAAATTTCTGCTTGGACACTACCTTAATCATATCCAATCTCAACAAATACTGGTGTATATTTTGAAGCTAAAAGTGGATTTAGCAGTAATTATAAGGAAAAAAGGTAGTATGAATCAGAAATTAATTATCCAAAGAGAAACTCACTAAATATGAATTACGGAGGTTCAGAGAGTAGGGGGTTTCTGGTGTATATCAAGAATAGCAGAGTTACCGTACTGATTTTCTCTTCGAATGTGCTGGATATGCCTACAGTATGTGGGTCTGGAATTTAAGTTCATGGCATATTCAATTCAGCTCATTGTGACTCATATTTGTGAAACCATATTCATTGGGACCCTAAAGAATATAATTTTAGCTTTTAATGTGGAGCTACAGCTAGTCTTTAGATTTTAAGGTGGTTTCTGGTATGTTTGCTCTTCGGAGAGGTCATAGGAAGTGAGTTTTTTGAAAACAACCCAAAAAACACCACGAATAATCTGCTTGAACTCGTTGCCAGAGTTGTGCTCAAGGAAAAACCTACTGAATATAGTTTTGTTGCTTTTTTTTTGCTGTAATTTTTATCTAATGCTAACTTTGATTATTTTAGGTGTGGCACAAGAATACACCTGCTTAAAGTGTTCCAAAACGTACACGAAAAAGCACTCCTATTATGTTCACGTGAGGTATGACTGCGGTGATAAAAGACTATGCAAATGTTTGTATGAGGCCTGCACGTTCCAATCTACAAGAACTGGTAATATGAAAAGGCACATAAAAACGATGCATGGAGTGTCAAACTATTTGCAGTACATGCATAGAGAGAATTGGGAATAATGTGTAGTTTATATCACGCAAATGTTGTAAATGTTAAACTTCTAGTGTCGAACAAATTAAACAGTGAAATTAATGATAGGTTTTTTCTTGTGAGGTATTGATGACATCAAGTACTGCAAATCAATTTAACAAACAAAAAAACTACTGTATAAACCGCATGTTTCAATACCTTTTTATGTTAATTTGACAAGTAACTAGCACATGGCAATCTCTTAACGTCACAATGTTACGTATCTTTGAAATATACTTATCCCATGTCCTGATATTATTTTATTTTTAGCCAAGAACGGCTCAGGATACTTTTGCGAAATCTGCAACACGTTGTTTTCTCGAATGGACTATGTTAAGAGGCACTACATGGAACAACACGCTAATGAAAATAGAATTTATGAATGTTCAAGGTGCCAGAAGAAGTTTAAGAGGACGCACCATTTGAAACGACACTCTCTGACTTGCATCGTGAAGCTGGAAGACAAAACAGATTACCAGCAACAGTTCAACTGCTGCTTCTGTAATATCTGGTTCAAGGATGAAGCGGATTTGTTCGACCACTGGAAACTATGCCATCCAGTTTCAAGTTAAATAGACTACGTTAATTACCCAATAGCTTTAAATGTAAACACATTTTGAATACGTAAATTGTATACTCTAACTGAAAATGGTTATTAAAGATGTGTTTTAGTCTAGAATGAATGTAAGAGATGTTTCTTCATGTTATTTTATTACACGTGTAAATATGTTTGGAATATTGAGTATGAGATATTTGAATGGACCAGATTTATTTATTTTTTTTTAGTTACAGTACTTTTAAAAAAGGTTATGAATCCAGTAACATTTCCTGTTTCTGTAAAAAGATGAAATTTTTAAAAATAAAGATTTATAAATCTAACATCTATTTTAACAGAAAACAGTGCATTAGTACAGTGGGAATATTTTCCACGTACAACTTATTTTTAGCGATACCAAGAAATGTTGGAAATAAGGGTTGAATGAATGTTTCTGAAGCTCCTGAATTTTGTATGAGATCAAACAAATGAACATCGCAAATATTGTTTAGAAAGGTTGGTTTTTCTGTATTCAACGTACGAAAAAGACCATTCTTTTGGCGCATGTTTAATTAATTTTTATATTATTATTATTTTTCACTAGAAACAAAATACCCAAATTACCAAAAAACTATGCCGCAAAAAAACAATATTATTAATTTCCTATAAGAAATTAAACCTTGTTTCACTGTAATCGTAAGAATGTGGTCTGTCCAGCTATGCATATACAGGGTCGGAAAGTCCCCATGGTTCATCTGCCGTTACGTGAGAGCGATAAAAAAAGTCATAGAAATCCGTGCGATAGAGAAAGATGGCTATAATGAAGGCGTCTAATAGTCACCGCCCATTTCGCCCTTCCACAAATAAGAAGTGGATCTTATTTGTGGAAGGTCGAAATTATAGCCATCTTTCTCTATCGGACGGATTTCTAACACTTACTCAGGGTTCGTAGTGGCCGGGAAAACCGGGAATACCGGGAAAAGTCAGGGAATTCGTTATTCTTCATAAAAGACAGGGAATAGTCAGGGAATTTTAAAAATATTCATGAAAGTCAGGGAATTTGATGTTTGCAATTGGAAATTTTGTAAAAGCCGGCCCTGGGTTCTTGAAAGAGAAAACTATTTGTCGTTTTGAAACCTTTATAAGAGGTTCTTAGGGTATAAAAAAGATTATGGAGTCCAGTTGAGAAAAAAATTAATGCATAAACGCCAATTAGTATATAAAAATGAACTACAAGTGACCTGGATTTTTTTTTATAAGTCAGGGAAAACCTGGAAAAGTCAGGGAATTCTTTCTTACTTTTGAACTATGAACCCTGTTACTTTATCGCTCTCACGTAATGGCCGATGAATCATGGGGACTTTCCGACCCTGTAGAGTCAAGATATTCCATTAAAAAGAACGTTGATTTATTTACACATCTGTGGCGTTGATTACTGTGAAGGAATATAAAATTTTAATGTTTCTGGAAAGTTTAAGCAGCTCTTGTATTCAACATTTTTGTGTATCCCTAAAAATAATCAGCAGGTGAGACGTAAAATATATACACGGTGTCCCATTTTAAATTACACACAATATCTTCTTTTTAGGGAAGCGCTTTCAAAAGAAACATTTTAAACAAAAGTTGTAATCTGTTTTTGGAAAAAAAATCGCTAATACCAATAAGCTGTTTTGATGTCAAAAAAGACGTCCTAGTTGGCCGTGAATTGCATTAATAAAAACAGCAATATCACAGTTAGATAGAGTTTTTTTAGCCCACATTCCAAAAGAAAAAAAATTGAAATCGGCCAAAAAATAAAGAAGTTACAGGCTTGTGTCATATTTAAGCGCGACACCCTGTATATATTCTTTTAATATATAGTGTTAAGAATACAAAAAAAAATGTTAGAAAATATAACCCACCCACCGTTGGTTATAACCGTGTGCTTCTCTTTTACTAATCTACTTCCGTAGGTTTTATTATGAGTTAGTTACTTTTAGATATTTAGTTTTCCTTCTCTAATACGTTTATTTCAGTGGAAAAATTTACTTGCTCAAAATGTGGGAAGAGGTACACGACAATTCCAACGCTAAATCGCCACTTCAAATACGAATGTGGAAAGCCCCCGAAATTCTCTTGCCCGTTGTGCAACAAAAAGTTCAAAAGGAAAGACAGCATGGAACGGCATTGTCAACTCATACACCGATTCCAGCCTAATCTGAAGAGGATTAAATATATGGCGGAGTAAATGTAATGTATTTGATGTAACACGTGTTTGTTTGAAATAGTAATGAATAAATTAGATAAGGGGTTTCGAAATTATGGTTATTTCATTTTTGTTTTTACTACTACTGCTACTTTCAGAAAATTGATCTGTAACACAAATTAACGATTATAATCCGGTCAAATTAGTCATAAAAATAGTGGACAAATAACGACAAAGCTAAATTTTGGTGGAGACCTTGGGTACACCATTGGAAATAAAGTTTCAAAAGTCCCCATCGATCCCATGTGTGCTATAAAAGTTATTCGGGGTCAAAAGTCAACATTTGAGGTTTTTTGGATTTTCTTCGAAAACGGTAAGTTTTATCAAAAAAGTAGTTCTTACAAAAATTATAGACCTTAAAATTATCTACAAAAATGGCCCTTATACTTTTTTTTTCTAAGAATCACCATTCCTGAGATATTGCGATTCTAAAAGTTGAAGGAGTCACGTTCTACATGATATGCACATATATGCCACGAATATACATAGTCAGGCACTTAATACAAGTAAAAATGTCTATTTGTGTCTCGTATATGCATAAACTATACTATTCTGAGAATATACACTCAAAAGAAACTCCCTTAGTCAATCCCCTCTACCTGCATGGCTTTGAATAACATCTGGCTACTCTATTGTAAAAACTTTTGTAAAAAATACACCCTCCAACATCGGCTTCTGCTAATCAACACTTGTATCGAGTATACTATCAAGTTCAGACATGGCTAGGCAATCAACTGAACCCAGAAGACAGGTTGGAAATTAACAGATAATACTTTGGAACCGATTCAAATTTTACTCCCACCTGCTCCGGAAAAGCTCTTAAAAAAATATTTTTTACAATTGCAAAAAAGGTTGTAGTACTAAATGTGGCTGTAGAAGAGTAGGGTTACTGTGTTCTGCAGCGTGTACTAATTGGCAAAGCCATTCTTGCTCAAATGTCCAATTGAATACAACAGACGAAGATTCATGTAATTTCGATGAAGATACAGCTGATTCATCTTCATTTGAACAATTTATGAACATCCAGCAAGAAGATGAGGAAGAAGAAGAAGAAGAAATCGAAAAAGACATGACTGTTGAAGTCGATATTGAAGAGTATGAATCAGATTAAATTATCAAAAGAAATCACAACTACAGTTAAAGTCAATAACCAATAATATCATTAGTCATCATGCAGTCAAAAGAGTATTGTCCCTGAAAAGTCCGTCATAACAGTTCGTGGAGTAGCCCTACCGGGGAAACTACGTTAAAAAAAACGCACTACCTCACAGGTGGTGTGGAAATGTGTGCATATCATGTAGAACGTGACTCCTTCAACTATTAAAATCGCGATATCAGAAATTGTGATTTTTAGAAAAAAAGTATAAGGGCCATTTTTGTAGATAATTTTAATATCTATAATTTTTGTCAGGACTACTTTTTTGATAAAACTTACCGTTTTCGAAAAAAATCCAAAAAAACCTCAAATTTTGACCTTTGACCCCGAATAACTTTTTTAGCACACATTGGATCGATGGGGACTTTTGATACTTTAATTCTAATGGTATACCCAAGGTCTCCACCAAAATTTAGCTCTGTCGGAATTTTCGTTATTTGAAATGTCTATTTTGACTGGACTATTAACGTAGGTCAGCTATCATTGGGCCAGGTAAGCCAATATTACGTAAATAGTACCATAAAAAAATAAAATGTATTTTATACTAGAACAAGCATCAAATTTAAAAATTCAGTGCCGAAATAGCACTTCAAACCTGTCTACGCACTAGCTATCAAGAATTTTGTAGAAAATGTTTTTTAATGCAGACTGAATTTGTTTGCTTAAGATCTCTAAGATGAAGTTAAACTATTGTATACATTTATTTGGTTGTTTAACTTACAATTTAATAAAGATAAATGTTGGCGTTATTTAGAAAGGATGATACCGTTTTGCATTGTTGAGAGCAGAAAATAATGTGTACTTAAAATTAAATTATTTGTAATTTCCTAAGTTTATTATTTTTTAGCGCCTCACGTTTATTTTACATGCAAGAATTGTGGAAAAGTGTACAGAAACCAAACTTCTTACAGTCGTCACATTCACCAAGAATGTGGCCAGCCTAGACGACATACGTGTTCCGTTTGTTTTAAGAAGTTCAAGAGGAAGGATTCATTGAAAACACATATTACGAATATTCACTAAGAAACTATCAAACTAAGATAAATCGTATATAATACTTAATATGATGTAAAAAGGTTTTTTTATATAAATTATGAGCACATTAAAAGTACATTATCATTCCATACATAAAATGAATTGATGGAACCTCTTTTGGATATGCAAATATTAAATTGTTCTTAATGACTTCAAGATTGTTTAGTGTTAAAAAATTACCCTGCTTATTTTTATATGTATTGTGGTTTATAATTTTTTCACTAATTTTAGAAACTAAAATTATTTACTATCAAATGCATTCCTTCAATAAGAAGTATATTAATATTACATCCATTTTATAGGAAGTGGTTTAAATTGGGTGGATTTTTTAGCTTCACTTTGCTACAAATTTATTTTGTTTCACATTCACAGGGTTCAAGAGAGACACCGCGACTAACTTTGAAGCAATTTTTCTGTTCAAAATAAACAAAAGTAACAACATATTTTCCCTTCAACAGAAAAATTGTTCTTACTCAATTGCTCTAGATAATTTACTTCCTCAACTGTTCTTATCCCACTTCTAAAGAGCA